TACACAGGCTAATACAGCCTGCTGTAGTAAATCAGGTTTGACTCCTCGAACAGTATTCCCTAGAGAGCGAAGAGCGTTGGCCACAGTGAGGGCTTTAGATGCTGTTTCTCTAACGTGCCATTTGAACGTTAGCTTTTTGTCAAAGAGGATTCCTAGCCATCGTAGATATAGCCGTTTAGTGTTTTCTGATATTGTAATAGATCCAGCTTTCACTGAAGGTGTGCGGGTTGGGTCCTGGTCTGCTTTATGTCGGGAGAAGTGAAGAAGCTCGTATTTATCTGGTGCAAATGTAATGCCCTCTGCAGCGCCCCAATTAAGAGCTTCTTGAAGTAAGTCTGATAAGGCTTCGCAATTAGTAGTAAGAGAAGTTGAGATCGCTAGGTTAGCTGCGTCGTCCGCGTAACCAAATCTGTTCCTTGGGTTTCCTAGACGGAATAGAGGCGCTATGTAGAGCATGAAAAGAATGCCAGATACTGGGGATCCTTGTGGAAGACCGCAGGTAATGTCTGTTGAGGGGCCGATCTCTCCATCGAGTCGGATCTGAACTGATCTTCCAGTAGCGAAGGAGGCAATCCAGAGAACGAGATTGGTAGGCCAGCCCTGCTCGCGTAGTCTGCGGATCAGTCTGCCGGGAAGTACGGAATCAAAGGCGCCTTTGACATCTAGGGTAAGGAGTGAGGCAGTCATGCCTTGATTTAGCGCTTGTTCAACATCATGTGTTAGGCATGTGGTCAGGTCAGTTGCAGATCTTAGTGGGAGAGCCCCAAATTGTTGCCTTGCTAATACTTTATGGTGTATAGAGATCCATGCCATATTCCGTGCCACCAAGCGCTCCAGTCCTTTGCCAAGTACTGATAGGAGAGCGATTGGTCTGTATGATCTAGGTGAAGACCAATCAGTCTTTTTTGGTTTCTGGATGATTGCTAAGATTGCGTGTCGAAAGCATTTAGGATGATGACCAATCTTTAGGCACCCTTGATATAGCATTAGTACCTTATCTTTGATCAGAGGCCAGGCTACTTTGAGTATGCAGGTTGGGATTTCATCTGCGCCAGGGGCTGTGTTTCCTGCCTGAAGTACTGACTCCTCCACTTGTAGCATCGATATATCTGGGAAGTAGAGACTAGTGGAAGGCACTGTTGGGGAGTCCAGAGGTATGTCTCCTGCCTCTGCCGAGTTCTGGAGAAGATTGCGGACTAGTACGTCTCGTTTCTCGTGTACAGTAACTGCTGGGAGGCTGTTGGGCCTTAGCGGATCTTTTAGTGGAGGGCTTCGGAAGATGCCTGTAGACTTATGCCATTTACTCATGTCAAAAACATCCTTCATTTGTGTTACCGTAGAGAGCTTCTCTCGCCAAAATTGTCGTTGAGACCATCTAGTTATCCTGCGGAAGTCTGTCTTTGAGCAGAGGCCTAAGCGGTAATTGTGTAAAGCTTTCTTGCAGTCTTCGTTCCACCATGGTTGTCCTATGCCTTGTGTCATGGTCCTCTTAGCAGAGCCTCTATATGCTCCTTGAATTGCAGATGTCAGTTTTTCGGCGAAAGCATCAAGATCTTCTTCTGTCGCGGCTGAGCTCTCGGTGCCAGCAAGATTAGAGGCGAGGAGCGAGAGGAAGGAGGTGTGGTCTAGTGTGTCAAATCTCAGTTTCTGGGCTGTTTCCTTGTATCTCTGATCCCATGGAACAGTGGTAATTAGTGGTTGATGATCAGAGGTTGCATCTAAGTGGCTCGCTATGCTAGCTTTGGCTCCTGCGAGTGCCAGAGGGCTTGAGGCGAAACTGAGGTCTAACACGTTACCCCTTTCATGTGTGGGACAGTCTATGTCGGAAATGAGTACTAGACCCTGGAGATCCAGCCAGTTAATAAATGGCTCTGCGAAAGGTGTGGGGCTGCGATGTAGCGAGGGCTGCCATCTATTGTGTAGTAGGTTGAGATCGCCTGCAAGTATTGTTGCTTGAGGGAGATACGCCTCTGGCAGGGTTGTGAGAGCTTTCGCGGCTTCACCTGCTCTGATGGAGCCTGCTGGGGCGTTATAGATGTTGACTATCAGAGCAGACTTTCCTGTGGGTGAGAAAATCTGAAGGAACAGGAGATCCGAGGCCTCTTTAGTGTCAGTTGTGAAGGGGCGGAGCTGGGAGGTCCGAATGCCTTTCTTCTTTCGAACATAGGTGAGGACTCGTGGTCGGCCACTTATCGCCCAACTGTCAGTTGGGGAGAAGCATTCATATGATGGGTGTTTTTTAGTGATCTGTCGACTAAGATCTTTGAAAGTATATGGTTCTTGGATTAGGATAATATCAATATCGCTTGTGTATGCCAATGTGAGAGCTATTTCATGTGCATCTGGCGCGTGCCCTACATTTAGCTGTAGGATTTTGAGAGGCGCCTTCTGAGTTGGATAGTGATAGATCATAGTTCCCGTTCAAGAAGAGAGGCGAACCGGTTTTGTGATTGAGGGGTTGTAAAGCGGACTGCGCGAGCTGTAATTGGAGGATCTTCAGTTGGGGCGCGAGGTGGGGGGGTTACTGAACGGAAAGGAGAGGTAATCCCATGGGTTGGAGGCTGAGATGGCACCTCGTCTATTGCCATAGGTGTTTCTTGTGTGCCTATGGAGAGCTGAGGGCTACATCCTCCTTCAGTTCGAGCTTTTGCGAGGTTTATGGCGCAGGATTTGCGGATCTCTGCTTGTTGAGCTTTAGTATGTTTAGTATTGCCTCTAGGGCGCAGGAGGCATTCTGAGAAATCAGCTGGATGTGGTCCATGGCAGTGTATGCATCTGGGAGGGCACTGATGAGGCTCTAGGGCTGTGCAGCGGTTGACATGGCCCTCTTCAGTATGCTCTAAGGAGCCGCAGAGCCGGCATCGAGAGGGGCGGGCACAGGATCGTGTGTTATGCCATTTCCAGCATCGTGTGCATTGGATAACTGTTGTTCTCTTAGAGAGGTGACGGGCATTGGTGATAGTGCCAAAAAGACGTAGTTGGATAGGCAGTGGTGATTTCGTGCCTTCTGGGAAGTTGACAAACCAGCTTGAGGAAAGAGTATTAGGGTTGGCGGCACTTGTAGCGGTCTCGCTGATAGATATAGGCTTGAGCCCAGTAGTTTCGCTGATTTCTAAGGATAGTAGTGTAGGATTGATAGGGATTAGAGAGTATCGGCCATCCAAGATTTGGCCAATTTTCCTTGGCACATTGGTGACTCGGTATGAGACCCATCGGGAGCTGCGTTCTATCTGGCAGTTAACAAAGAATGCAGAGATAGTCTCTTTTTGGGCCTCAAGGGCTAGGAGGGCTTCTGGAGATGAGGGGCATAGTGCGAAGCCAGTCTTTGTGGCTTGAACTTCTTTTAGCACTGCACTGTTTGAGTTTAGTTGAGACCGTAGGCTAGAGTAGATGGCGTAGGCTTCCATTTTTCTAGCTGCATGGTCAGCTGGGAGGCGTACGAAGAGCCGGTTGTCAGGAAGGGGTTGTTTCACCAGAGGCATAGGCTTTTTAACAGGGGATTTAGAGTGAGTAGTGGGGGTTGATTTGACCGGGGCATATTGGGTAATAGTCGCATAAGTTGACTGGTTAAGACCTGAGGGGGGACGTGAGGGAGGGGGTGAAGGGGGTAAGGGATTTAGGATGGGGGAAGAGGAAGGGGAAGGAGACAGGGCAGGTAGAATGGAGGTCGTCGAGATACCGCTAATATAGGCGTTGAAATGTTGTTGAGCTACCGAGGCGAGGTCATCGCTTAGGGCGGTGAGGGCTCTCAGTAGGTGAGGAGCAAGGCCGGTGGTTTGGCTGCGGTGTTTATCAAGGAATGCAGCTATGGGGCTGAAGATCTTCTGTCCTTCAGAAGCTCTTGTTGTGGCTGCAGACGTGGATTCTAGAAGGGCTGTCTGTAGAGGGCCGTCTGTACCAGGGCCTTTACGCGCCATGGTGTTGCCGGGCGCGTTGAGACGCGTCAAAGGCTGCACTCCTGGGAGCTAGGTGGTAGAGAGGGTTGAGGATTTTGAGCCTCCGACTGTTTGATATGAATAATTATAAGGAAGTCGCCTATCAACTCGAAAATCGGTGAGGTGCTTTCCACTACGCCATCTGCCAGGCGATTTTATTGGGGTTGCCTCACGTGACGATCACACTGCGGATTAGTCTTCACCTAACGTCCTGCGTACTGCGGGGTTCTTCCTGTTGGATTATTACTAATCCGTGGGGGCAGATTCGGCAATGATTCCTAGCTTTGCTACGTGGAAAGTGTTCGTATTGGAAGTAGAATTAACAAGCAAAATTGTATGTATTCCCCCCTCCCTCTTTCTAAGAATTGAGGGTGATTCTATGTCTTTATATATTCCAATGCGGCCTCAGAGAAGTAAGGGAAATAACAACAGGAATTTCAGCTAAGGCAAAGCGAAGAATCCGAGTCACAAACATGAAACTATACAGGTTTGACCACTGTAGTTGATTGGTATCAAGGGGCATTTTGGCGATGTGCACTTTCTTAATTAGGGTCAGAGGTATCGTCCTGTCGACACCTAGTTATCTAACACTTCCTTCTTACAACTGCCTCACGAGAGTCAGCCGCTCCCCTCCGCAAGTTGCTCGTCATCTCTCACGCAGTCAAGACTTGATTTTTCCCACCCACCTCCCTATGTACATAGATTCATAGTGCCATTAATACAGACAATTGCCTCACCACAAGGGAGCGCGGACGGGGCCCTCTCTGACGTTGTGGTCATACGCTTTGCGGGTAAGACCTCAACGACAGGTGACCCGTTAACCCTAACCCTATCTTGACTGAGTGAGGTCACCAATAAAGAAGATGCGGAATAGCTTCATATTCCTACTCTTTCCTTTTCTTTTCTTCATGCTTAGTTTTCTTGTGTTTAGCTTCCAATATTATTATGTTGATTGAGCCCTTACAGACACAGAGTATCACGCTGTTCATATCTCTGGACTAGCTTTTCGATCATCACTGCCATAAGCAATCATATCACATAGAAGCAAAAAGGACTTCAACACTTCTATGCGCTTATCCAAGATTTCACGCTGTCCCGCTGAGAACTTAGATATTTTTTGTATCTGTCAAGCACAATGCTCAAAGATCCCTCGTATCCACAGAGACATATCAAGCTGCTCTCCTTGTCGAATGCTTCATGGATATTTTCCGAAAATAGCTGTTGAAGCTTTTCGCTTCGATTAAGCTTGACCAAAACCCCATGCTCCAGTTGAATGATATAAGGAGCATCAGCGAGTCCAATACCATTTTTTGTGAAAAGGTCCTTAATATTCGCTTCTTCCTCCGTGATCCAGTAAGGGGTATACGAATCTGAAAATCCTTGGTTGCCAAGTTGTGGAAGGGAGACATCAGCGATATCACCAGCTGCTTGACGCTCGCGGCTCTTGGTTGCCTCCAGCGACAATTTCATTCCTTGGTACACGTCTTCCATCCAATCCAGCCATTCTTTCTTTTTCGCAGTAATACGAGAAATTTGAATTGCATTACCCACTGACATCTGCCATTCAATTTGGGCTTTCAGTCCAGTTCCCGGATGGCCTTCCACGTACTCGGAAAAAGGATGGGTTTTTTCCGAGTCATCGAATAATTTGGCCCTGTAATGGCTCACGATTACCCGCGTTATATCCCTTGTTTGTGGACACGCAAGATACCAGCCGTATCCGAGTGGAACTACTGCAAAGCGAGTTGTGATTTCTTTTTGGTTTAGGCTGTTCTCAAGCGCCATGATATTTGACTCATACCATGTAGAAGGTTTTTTTACACGTAAGAAAGCATCACAGATGTATTGTTCACGAGTCAAAGCAGATATCCTGAAGATCTAGTAGGAATTAGAATTGGTTAACAATCATGGAGACAATCTTACATGAAGCTTGCCGGTGTTTCCTTGTGCGTGTTTAAGCATGATAAATACCTAATCCCGAGGTGGCTTTGTCACAAATCAGTGGTGAATGGACAAAATATCTGAGAAGTAAAGTATATTTATATATATGAGGCAGGTTCAAGCATCCTATCTCTAGCCGATATGAATGCTAAGATTCCCAACATCCATGCAGTAGTCCGTCCAGGGTCCAGATTGTTCCCTGTATTCGCTGTATCCAGGAACGTAGAAGGAAGCCTCTGTATCTGTAGGTAGGGGTAAGCTATCTGACAGGAACCTCAACTACCAATGATACGCGTTATCCTCATTGGATTTTATATTATACTATTTATAGAAGACAACCGCAAAGCCAGAAACCCGCTTCACAACCACAAATGAATTTAGTTGCTGAGCCTCGGTATGCGCGACTCGCAATAGCGTCTTTGGTTCACTACCAGGCAGGCCATAGGCGAGACAGGACGAGATAGTACGGGACGGGACGATGGTAAGTGGTTCTATTGCAGGGTTATTTAATTCATACTACTAAACATTATGTTAAACTAACTTAGTTACTGCATGATGCATTAGTTTAGTTACCGCCCCCTCCGTCTGTATGACCACAGTAAGATACTAACTAGGGCTGGACAGAGTAGAATGAAATGGGACGGAACGGAATGGAATGGAACGAAACGGAACAAAATAAAACCAAACTATGAAACCTTGCCAATCAAAGGCAAGCATTTTAACACTTAACGTTGCAAATGATAAATAATATATTCTGTTCCATCCCGTTCCCTTTTGTTCCGTCTCATTCCTTCTATACCTGTTTTCCATGTACCATGAATTCTATCAATGACTTTACAAATTTCTGCAAAAGACTGGAGGGGTTTATTCATGTTTTTCAAAGCGGAGATCCCGATCCCTTAAGCTTTATGCATAAAAAGCAGTTGAATGCTTGGAAAGCTTTGCTGAATAATGAATTAACCGGAAAATCAAAGACACAGATACATGTACGAGAAGTTGCACGGAATTTTGCGTCGAAAATCCGTAAAGTAGCAGGCAATGAGACCCTCTTTCTTACCGTTCTCATATATGCTATCTCGCGTGTTCCAAAGATTACATACGAGACATTCTACGCGGATCTGACGAAATGGTCAGAATCTACGCATTTCCCAAAGTCGCTACATGATCAAGCCTCTAGCCTTTGGAATGAACCAGGCAACCGACCGAGTGTGCAGCAAGAAGCCAACAACCATCGTCTATCTTCTAGGACGACAGCTCAAACAACTGGTATGCATCCTGATCTATCCAGACAAAGGTCCAATATTAGTTATTAACAAGAAGCTCAATTACATGCAGGCGATGCTCATCTTCGAAATCCGACAACTACCAACGAAGAGATTGAATCTCGAATTGCACCAAACAAACCACTTGAGATAGCCTTTCTTGTCCCCCCTGATTCGCTTGATGCTTTCTACAAGCTGCACAAGGATTCACTGGCCTCTCAGCAACATTCTGCGATCCTTACGATCCCTACCCAAGATCGCGTTGCTTCACTTGTCCTGTCCATTCCGCGAACAGAGGCAGTATCGCAAGGCGACAGGTTCGGCCTGCCCATGATATTCAATTCTGAGTCTCCTTCAGTGTAATCGATTTTGTATCCACCATCATCGCCTCGAAAGCACAATTCTTCGGGACTTTGCCTATAAATGTACCCTTTTCGTTATATTTATCCCATATCATGGTAGTGGTGCCCGCTTCGTATACCCTAATGCAGCCTAGGAATTGTTTCGATTGCTGAGGACGGAAAACGATTAGACGATCAGCTGGGTGACCTGGTATTATTTTTATTGTATGCGACGTCCATTGGCTGTCAACTTCGATTTGGGATTCCTGAAATCTTGCGTCTAACTGAATACCGATCAATCAGAACAAGCGAATCCATTATAAAAAGAAAAGAGAAAACGTGGTGACGAACCTTTATAGCATTCTTACAAATCTCGTTATCTTCTTCCGTGCTGAGTGGTATCTCTAAGCAGTATTTATTCGTAGTCGTGGCCATTGTGGCTATCATCGACGTGCAAGGCAAATTCTTATATACCGGATCTTCGTTAATTCTCTTTGTAGCGAAGTGAATAATGTAGATGATGTCTTGATGTCTTCGCAGGTAAAATTTAACTCATTCCCGAAGATTTTCCTGGATGTGGTTGACGTGGGGCGAAGCCCCTCCTAGCACACGATACCTCTATTATTTGGGCACCAAGCAATGCCTAATATCATCATAGCCTCATATTATGATGCTAAATGACTGCCCTCGACAAGATTATTTTTCATATATCTCAAAATGGTATAATTTTTAGGTGGAACTAACGGCATGATAGCATAATTGGAACAAAACAGTACAGAAGATAGCAGAACAAGATGGAACGGAATGGAACGAAATGAAACAGAATGAAACGGAATGAAATGGAACTAAACGGGACAGTACTGAACAGAACGGAGTAGAACAATTAAAATGGCAGCAACGTGACGCTGTATGGGTGCCACGATCATAGATAGCCGCAGAAAAAGAAAAAAACAATCAAAGATAGTCTAATGGAGCCTGCGCCAGTCCAGGCACGCCGATCTCGAGTCATGATAGTCGAATTTGTTAAGCTCAGGGGCATCGTCTTAGCCGTACGCTGAATGACCAGAGCTGAAAGAGGCAATATAAAACCTATCATAAAGATCAAGATGTCTATTAAGATGCCAAACTTGTCCCAGGTTTACTGCAATTCAACACAGACCACCTCAAGTTACCGGTTTCAAGCCATCAATCGGCCAGACTTCATTATTTTCCCCTGGATAATGGGCAGAGGAGCATACGATACTACTGGTGTAAAGAAGCCTGGCCAGCCGAAACCCCCAAAATAGCACCTACATTTACCTCGCATCATTTCAAACCGGACTGCTTGGACAGTTTTTCAGAATCAGATATACGACCACGATCCACAGCCGATATGCCCTGCTTTTCATGGCTATCATTCTTTTTGTTTTGGCCTCAGTGGCTTCTTTTCTTAAATCACAAGCCTTCATTGGAGAATGACCCTGTTAGTATCTTTGGTCCAATGGGCTTGCTCAAGCGTCTGTCTGACTGTGCGCAGGAACAAGGCATTGCGGAAATTGGTCTTTACGAGAAGGTCGAAATTGAAATGATTACTGCTACGTATGAGGGCGATCATTCTGTCTCTTTTTGGCTTCCTCCTCGGAGAGTAAAAGATGACCCTAGAATCGATGTCTTTTACAGAGCTTTTCTACGTCTTGATAACAAAAAGTATAAGCTTGAAAGACATGGAAAACTCCCGTGGTCTGCCAAAGAAAGTCTCTCGGTTCTCTTTCATTACGACGATATAATGAGGGTCCGGGTTTCTCTTCCGTATGCAGAGGCAAGGACTCTGATCCCTGACCTTCCTGAACTTCCGCCTAACATTTTTGCGGCTATTTTCAATTTTCTAATCAGAAATTTATCAGCGTTGTATTGAGTTGTTCGTACAATTAATACCTTCAGTTTCTAGATCAGATGTAGTATAGTTGCATCAATACTTACGTAGTGTCAGGGGACGGGCTACGATATCCAAGGGGTCTGTGGATAAAGGCATATCGATGCTGGTAATACAGTACCTGTGACATTCTTTAGTTTGGGAAGACTGCATAAGACTATGCTCTGAAACGTACATCACGAGGGTGAGAGTCACCAATGGTCTATGCATTTGTCCTTAGGTGCCGACTCAGCTAGTTCGACTAACATCTGCTAGTTATGAGCTCCTGGATGCATATGAACAAACCACTCAATACAACATCTGTACGGTTCACAATATCTATAGTTGCTGAATTAGGTTCTTTCAATCTAGCGAATGCAAATACTCCTCTCTGCTCTGATGCGTATGCTGCCAGTGGGTCAAGGCATATGGATGCTCCATGCCTGTGCCATTTCTCGTTAGTTTGGAGAGACTGCATAAGTGGACTGAGGTCCAAGATGGTGAGAATCACCAATAGTGTACGCATTCGTCCTCGGGGGTGAGCTTGGTTGATTCGACTTACATCTATTAGTTGCGTTTTTAGTATACATAATTAGTATGCAACTTTGTTCAGTCTAGAATGGTCCTGAATTAGACATCTAGGAGTCAATGCCCTAGTCTTTGATAGTAAATGCGCACATGAACTGAGACATGATTAAGCCACCGCAAAAAGCAAGTTATTCACACTGTGTACTCTGCTCAATCTGGAATGGTCTTGAACTAGAGGCCTAAGAGTCCTCGTCCATGAAACTGTAGAATTAGTAGTTTCATTGCATGTGTTCAGGGGTCAAAGCCGGCAACTTCTACTCTTATATGCTAGCAGTAAAATCTTATGTATTCTCTTCTCTCAGTAGGACGGCCACATCAAACACCTCTCTTGTTGCACAATTCCAGCATACTCTGAGATAACAAGCAGAGCAAATCACAAGTTATTTCTCATTACGGATCCATCGCAGTTGAACCTATATCAACGCGTCCTTCTAAAGACTTCCTATGAAAAAAAGCTTGGTGCATTCGGCTTTATTAACTGCATTGTCATTGTCGTGAGATTTATTAGGCTCATTGAGCCAGAAAAAACAGTCAAGTATCCATACACTGGAGCAGAGAAGAGCAAGCCGCCATGGTGGCCTGCTAGTATAGCACACAAAGGACCAAAGCTTCTCAAAAACGAAGGTAATTCACCTTGCCAATGGCTAGATTAATATTTAGTGTAGAAGATAAATTTGCTAACAGAAAAGAGCCTAGAGCGTATCCAACTTCTCATTCATATTCTTGAAAATCTCGGCAAACACCACCACATTACAACAGAAATGCTTAATGGTGCATTGAAAGATTTACACCGAGAAATCAAACCTCCTGACAGGATCCATATCCTCAATGAGATATTGAGGGAGATTGTCAAGATAGGCGAAATTCCAGGTGCCGAGACATGCGAATCATGTGTTATTCAAGCGGTAAGTATCAACGATATCTGCTCTCAATGACATCCCCGCATATTGACCTTGTTACCAGCCGAGCATTTCCCCTAATGCAGGCGAAACCATAGCTCCCCGACAAGCCGAAAAATCCTCCGGAATGCAAAAAAGTATAGCGACTTTGCAAAGACTGGCGAAGATAATACAGGGCCAACAACGTGATATAAAATTCCTCAAGATGAATATGGCACAATTGATTGGAGTCCAAACTTCACCACATAATACTCTCGCTACTGACCTTGAGCAATCAAATGAGTCGTCTAAACAACATCAACGGCAACATGTCGACCCTCAGTCCGAAAGCCAGACAGATTTGCAGGGGCTAAGCGTGACGAGTCCATACCGATATCACCACGGAACAACGGACTTATACAATTATGACTCAGGATACACACTGAATTGTTTTCCGGGTGCTGAACGTCCAAATCGGCAGTTGACAACTGGGCCTGTATCATTGCGACACAACTCGTTCGTGCAAATCCTACCGCATCCCGATGGTTTAAAGCAACTGGACACTGGGCGCCGGGAAAGAGGGAGTCATAATCCCTGGGCCGAGGAAAAATACACTTTCATCGAAACTCTTCGTACGCATGGAGTGTCGTGGCCGATTGTGAAAACTGCATTCCAAGAAAAATATCGCGAGAATTGTAGCGTTGAAAGTCTCCAAATGCGATTACTGAGGCGAGTCAGGGGAAATAAAGGCAACCAGAAGAATGCAAGAACCCTAGCGAGCAATAAAAAGAGATAGAATGAATTAAAAATTCTCAAGAGTATGATCTGTTCTATCAGAAATTATAAATTCGAAATAAATACACAATCCCATGAGAGCGAAAGGATAGAGAAACCTAAAAACGCTTACCATGCTCGACGCTCCGTCCTTGAGCCAAAGTTGACCCAGCAGACCTGTGAACTTTCTGCCACCGATTCTTGCAAAATAAATCCGCAGAATATGCTACAAACTGAACAAGTCAATGCTAGAGATATGTTGCTGATATTGAAAGCAAAACCAGACAACTAACGTAGGAGAATCAACGAATCAAAGAACAAATCGAGAAAGAGAGTATGAAAGTGAACGCTTGCCGTGGGAATCTGGGCTAGTCATTCTATTGACGGTTTGTGTGAAAAATTGACGAAAGTAAGATTTCTGCTGCTTCTCGCCGTCACTGCAACTTGCAGGGTTAGTCTGGTATGCAGCTGCCAGAATGCAGCAGCAAAGCCTTGTTGTGATTCTTGAGGACACGACTGGGCTCACTCAATCAGCTTTCGAGTTCATAGGTACGCCTGCAGTCAACGAATTTAACCATAGGCCCATCACAAAATCCTCCATAAGCGTGTTGGCTGGATGACAGGAGACGGCGGGTCGAGCAGTGAGCGAGAGTCGTACTTCTCCGCATCGCATAATACATATCAAAATGAAATTAATCTCCTCCGGATTTGACTGAATGTCAGTAGGCCCCGTTGCGAGCTATTATATAAACTGCAGCATTCAGCTCGAAAGTTCCTAAAGACCAACACTTCTAAAGTACTAAAATCATATCCTAGACGAGGTCTCCAGTTGCTTCAATATTCGAATTTCCCCATACTAGGAAAAAAAAACGCGATTATGTGGTCTCTTTGAAGGGGATATACCCCTCCCACCAGCTCAAAAAAAAAAAGGTAGTTCATACTACAAAATCGCCTAGCACTAGGATTTCAGGCTCTCCCGCGGCTGACAGTAATGTTTCTCGGAGCTTATCGAACCTTGATACAGAAATACACCCTTCACAATCAATATCTCAGGTAGAATGAGAGGCTGGGAGTGTCGAAATCAAGCAGAAAAATAAAGCTAGACCAAGAGAGTGGAGCTGGATCTGGAAATACCACTTGACAACGCCTGGAAATTAGCGAATAACGAACGGTCTGAGCTTAAACATGTGTGTTTGTATCGCCATCTATGTGTCAATTCTTTCGACTTGCATCTAAACTACAATCTTCAATTACATCATTAAGCAGGGCCTTCAGCGGGCCCATAAGCTCTCCTAGAATGGTCTCTCAAAGTGCCAAGGACCATTTTCATGGATTTGGAAGCAAAAGAAAGCTTCTATTTGAGGAATTTCTCTTAAATTGGATTATATCAACCTCCCGGCCATTTACATGCGCTGAACTACCTTTATCCAAGGCTATGTTAAGGTCTGCAGGTTCCCAGAATTCTATACCAAGTGCAGATACTGTCTCGCGTCGGCAAGTCTTCGCCCTGTCGCTGTTGACAGTGAATTACAGGGTTTGATGTCTTCAGCCCCTTGATGGTGGGACGAGCCAGAATTCACTACCAATGCTAGCAATTAATGCTCATTGGACGTCCTCATATTTTCAGCAATATCAAGCTTGTATAAAATTTCTTGAAATTGGAAGAAACACTCTGGAGAAAAGTTTGCCAATATTGTCGCTATATCTGATAAATGTATCTATTACAATACTTTCCACCAATATCTTTACTAGAAGTTATCTCGGAAGCATGCTAATACCTAACAGAGACTATCATTCGACAGAGGATAATGAAATTTACCTAGAACTCCCAAATCTGCTGTTTTGCTCACATTTTGTTGTCATGATTGAGAGAGCTGAAGAGCGGCGTCGGCAGCTCGAAGATATATTCAATGATGAGCCAGAAATTGAAACCTTACGTCTTACACCTGAGAATTGGGGACAGCTCTTTGTTATCAAGAGAATTCCGGCTCCCTTTAACGAGTATACTGAGTACATCTCTTGAGATAGTCCTTTAATTCATATGGCTGCGCGTCCATACGAAGGGCTACGTTTTATCTGTTAGCTATCAGGGAACGGCGTGGCGACTGGCAGGATCTCTCACCTGCAATGACTGTTCTTGTTCCGATGAAATCTTACTGCTGGAACGGCGTTACGACTACGTTAAACACAACGATATATACCATATTACAAGCCTTTCGGACTCTCGAACTAAGATTAAGTGGCTCAAAATGCTACCAGATGGAGAGAAGATGATCATCTAAATCAGGACTTTCTGGAAAAAGCATATCCTGCACAAAAAAAGCTTATATCGACTGCTCCAAATAAAAATTATAAGAGCTGCGAATATCGTTTTCTAGAGGCATTCCAGCCCACACAACATCTCTGAGTCGGTGCATTGCGCCCTAATTCAACATACAAGCTCTTAATATCAAGGTATAATAGTAAAATACAGCGCTTTTAATACAAATTCAATAGATTCAGAGGCCATGTTTAGGAATTTGAGCCCTTTTTGGGATTAGCGGTCTTCAAAAGCGTGATTTCGTAAGATACGTTTGAAATTCGCGAATCTTGACGAATCGAATTGCCCGTGGATTTGGAGTTCGAAAATAAGGTTCGAATTGGATTCAATTCGTCGATAATTCGCAAAATTCGAATAATCCGAAAATTCGTGCGTGCCCGCAGCTCGGGAGCTTTCAGCATAGCAACGCCTGCATAGAGCTGAATATCTGTACACAGTTATGTGGTATTGGATTGTACGTAACAATCTCAAGCAGGATATCCCAACCTGCCAAATTATGTATGCAAAGAGCGTGGAATCCTTGATTCTTGTTGTCCTTCTTCTTGTCTCTACGGAGTAAGATATCTTTTACCCCCTATTTAGTGGATCCGTGTGTGGCTCGTTCTTATTGGCTGGATTAGCTTAGCTAATCCAACACATCCGTGGAGTCTTTACCCAATATAGACGAGATTCCCGCGGCGTTCTAGCTTCGGAAACATTGTAATAGATCATATTTCAGTAGAACAATGTAAATCGGGGATGTGGAGACCATTCCGAGCCCGTTGGAAGATACGGGGTTTCCGCGGTGGCGCACGGATTGATATAGCTTCACCACACCCTAGTATAAGAAGTGGAAAGGATGGCCTAGCACTGGAAGAGCTAGTGAATAAACGCAAAGTGGAGGTTAAAGCCCTAAAGAGAAAAAACTCCACGTCAGCCACACCCAGCTACTGTCGGCTAGAGGGCTGTCAAGGCCGAGAAAAGATTGACTTGGAAGTAGCCACGATGGATTTTTATAGCGTGATTGTGAAATTATATTTAAGCGGGAAACGAGCCATCAACAACATACATATCTGGAATCAAAGCTGGCAATTTTGGTCGTCCATCATGGCGGAAGCCCTGGACTCTGCGCAAGAAGTTTATGAAGGAGCTCTTAAATCGTTTGACGAAGCCTTCCATTCGTTAGGAGTAGTGACGAAAGAAACGGTTAAGAGATTTCAACCTGATGTCGACAAACTGGCAGAGGCTCTAGGTATTCACATAATTCTATCGTTTGATTCTGTTCATTCCTTCTCTTCTCTCTCTTGTTTTTGGATTATCTAATACAAACATAAACTAAAAAGAAAATATTCTAGAAAATTTCCGAGAACTCCTCGAATCTCGACCGCGTAAAGATTGGACAGGAAAGCAATCTAATCTGCAATGGAGTTTCCATGGTGTGCTTGGTGAAATAAAGATTGCACAGACAGTGATCAAAAATGGAATTTTGTATAAATGGTCTGTTTGTTATCTCGAGGATGCCGTGCGCGTGTACAACGAGAAGGGCCACCTTTTGCATTTCAATTATGATAAGGCAAGCAACAAGCTAGAGTGGGTCATTACGAATGATTCTTATCCGCTCAATCTCCCGGAGCCGTCTTATGAGCTACTCGATACAAAGTGGATTAGAGGGGCCTAATGACTTTTCTTGGGAATCACTCATCCTCGCTACATACTACCATACCAGATCTTCCAGTGTACGTCAGCTTTTTGGTCTAGGTGGTTCCAACTATTATGCCGTCGGCTATAGGGACTTTATTAAAAAGACCAGTGAATTACTCCCAGATTTGCTGGAGACATTTTGTATTATAGAAATCAGAAAGTGGGTATACTATGCTAAATGCAAGGTACAAGCACGTTATCCCTTATCTCATCTCGATGTCCGCGAATATACAATAACTATGCCATTTTTCAGTTTAGGAGGACTGCACCAGTGGATTGACTCCTAGTCCCACGTCACGAAGGTGAGAACTTAATACCTAATAGGGACTAGAAATTTGTATGAGCAGCTTTATTCCTCTTTGAACCTTCAAGTTACCCCAATAACATTCCGAATTGGTATAATGAATCCTCGCTTTTAAATTCCTACTTTTTCAAAAGTATCAACGGCCTGTCGTATAGGAACAAATGCCTTTACTGTCTTACTCAATGGTCTTCTCGATAATAACCTTTTGTTTCGAGAGCATTCTCTGCTGCTTGGAATCGAGCCCGCCCCGCTAGTTGCAATCTCAAGAGGTACGACGGATGATTTGTCTGAGCAAACACCATTCCCAGAGTTCACGTACGGTAGTGATCTCGCGTAAGCGATCATATTGAAACACCCATGCGCGCTAGTGTACGGAAAAGCTATGCCGTTCCGCAGCTGAGGCAATAAGATACCAACAGCCGCGTGAATTTCACCTGGATTAGGAATAGTAGTCAAGCCATCTACGCCATGTAACTCACCAGGGATAATTGGTGGCCATGCCGGAATCTAGTACTGATGCGGATACTGTATTACGTGACTCGGGTGCGTGGGCTACGATCGGCCGAATACTTGCTTTGACCCAGTACGAATGGTCGAGAGGGCCTGCTAGGATATGAATAGGAGCGCTATAACTACTTCGTACCTTTTATTCCTGTGACCATGCAGCGCCGGCCTAGACTCTGTCCAGAGCTCAGAGACGGGACACTCTTATATATTCATCTCTTCTAATGCCTCTCATGAAAACCGTGATTTTATTCTTAATCTCAAATAGTTGCCATTGCCAATCATATATCTTTACTCTATAAAAGCCTACTTCACAGCAATCCAATCTCCCTTGCTTTCTTGCGCCAGCTACCTCTCAATCTTTTCTATGGATCCTAAATTCAAGGCTTGCCGCTGTTCACAGTGTGTACACGATTGCGGTGGAGACTGCAAAGAATCAAGACATATCATTTTATACTTTACGTCTACATATCCCAATGCTCATTCGGTATGTACAAAGGCCCATGATATAGTTCTGGTCTGAGCCAAATTAGGACCTCAAACACTGGAGTCTTTCCATTCCAGGTCTCGGCGAATTTCAGCCTGATCAAGGTCTGAAACCGCTAGTATTCCAAGTCCCCTATCCGTGCTAGATGAGCATTGAGAAACAGTAAGTTCCTCTACCATGTTATGGGGCGTATTGATGAGTTGATTTTAGTGGGTTTGAATTCACTGTGCAATACACACCGTTAGAAATACAAAGGGGCGACGGACGCGTAAAGGGTCTTTTATTCCCTAGCGTCTCTTTTTCTGGCAGTCTGAAAGGCTTGGAAGATAGCATCAATCAGGAAGCTTGGTCGTCATGAGCTAGGTCATGTCTTGTACCAAATTTTTACTGTCTAGGATGGAGGCGATAGATTCATGCAATTCCTGAATATTGTTAAGGGGCTCTATGTCTGCAACTAACGGTTGGCCATCATCGATCTTTGATGGTAGATGGAGTTCTTCCTTTTAGCTAGTAAAGACAAACCTGTCAATCATCAGATCACAACATTTTGTCCCTGTTTAACTGGAGTCGATGGATCATGATAAAATTGACCTTGTTCTTGTACTTTGTGAAGTGGAATACTGGAACCTCAACAACCAACCGTCCCAATAGTTCTAGACTTGCGCTCTTGATAGCTGGCTGTGTAATCGTATTTTCAGCCTAGGATTACTAGCGTCTGCATAGACTCAGCAATTGGAGGTGACGGCGGAGTAATCTCTGCGAAACCTTGCAGAGAAAGTCAGCTCCAGAACGGAGCAGGCACATTCGTGAAGAATTAATTTCGCTGGTGGCCGATAAATGCCTTTCACAATACTCATGTTATGTTCCGTACCGTTGCATCGTAATATAATCTATGCAAAGAACAAGGTGGGACTTGGGGCAGGACGGCCACCGGATATAGGACGCTCTGGTCTGACCCCACCTTTTGTATTACGGCCGTCGTACGGAGACTTGTCAATCGTATATACCAGCTAGGCTTAATATGGAATAGGAAGCATAAAACCACACTTGACTCTTATTGGTGGTTGGCTTCCCTCGCCATAGCGGTTGCTGAGAACCCTATTAAGTCATTGTACATACAATCACATGTCCCACTCATGTTCGCAGTACCAATAGAGTCAAGTTGTGGGTCTTATGCTGCCTATTCTATATCAAGCCTAGCCGTAATATATGGTTGACAGTACTCATGCTGGTACGTTTTTCAGGTGGACTGGGAGTAGGTAAATTACGTCTATTTCTCTTCCTACCTTTGCTTTCAGGCAAGAAGTAAGAGACTGAAGTTGCGTCAAGTTGATTGTTATGATATGCAATACCAAAAAGTGTCTTGGCCGAGCAGTAGCTCGACGAAATCTGCAGATCCAATCTTGGTCTCTCACCCAGGCAAATCACTTGGAAAAATCCTTGCTTTCATGTGGTTCCTTTTGGGGCAATGTTTGTCCCCTAGTTTGATGGTGGCCAAGATTTTCAGATATACCAAGGTGACATGAGCTGAAGATGTAAACAAATGATTTACTGGTGGATAGGCGTGGTTACTTATATACCGAGACACCAACTAACTATATGGCTTGCTTGCTCTAACGACAAATCACAATTCTGGAAAGGGAAAAAAATGCAGAGAAAGATAAGAGAAATCAACCAATTCATCAACCAAGTCGCTCTATCTGGTCCATTCACCTGGGAACAGCTGATGAGATGGCTCTGGCAGATTGCTCGGATAAGAATCATTTGTAACAAGCCAATTGAGCCCACCGCCTTCTCCCACATACATGAAATGCAAGAGATCCTTGTCCTTATTGTACACACACGCACTGAGTCGTTAGAAAAGTTGATGAACCATTTACGTGAAAATCCATGTTTGATCACTGTCTGTGCGATATCCCATTCACCAATCACACCACTAATGCTTTCTGCTAGATCGCATTGCGCCGCCGTTCTATCTTTCTTTGGTACACTGTCCAAATGTGTCAGGAAATTCTCTAAGATTCTGTTAGTCTATACTTGTATCAGATAATTCCAGTCCAAATAAGGGGAATGTTTAAAGAGAACAAAGGAGAACATCTTAATACCTATTTCCTTCCCAAGTTCGTTGGCACAATTTCGAAGTTTCTGAATGGTATCGATTGTTGCCAATCCCAATGAGCGGAAGGTATTATCGAACTGTTTGAGAGCTTTTTCATAAGCCTGCTGTGCCGAGTGTAGTTCCTCTACTCTCTGCCGTTTCTCTTTTCTCTGCTGCGTTTAAGGTTTAAGGTTTACCGCTCATGATAGTGTCAGAAAGATCGTCTTGTTCTGTTGAAGATCTCCTTCACGTTAGGGCAATACTTGGGCATCTACATAGTACATCTCAGTCAATCAGAAGCCGCCTTATCAGAACTCAAGATTATCCTCACATATACCCCTTATGACAGCTCACAAATCACCCCGCCAAAAATGTCTATAAAAACCTTCTTGGAAACTCATGTATACACGAAAGGGACAGATAACTGAACACATACAGATCTTGCTAGTCACTTCTCTTCTTTTCATTCCAGTAAAACCTCTTCAGGATTGACCTGGAGTAAACCTACCGTTGGTCCTTGAACACGAAGCAGGGATTGGTGTAAGGCTGGTCCAACTAGCTGACGAGGGTGAGTTCGATCAATATGTTTAAATAACTCCCAATTGATAACTGCCTCTCTTTAGAGCTAACTAATGGGTTAACGTAGGGCATATATATACCCGAAGGTTCGGTCCAAAATAGGCAGTGTATCTAACAACATGATGAGACATATAAACGGAGGATAAGTATGAGGCTATTCCCGGATCATAAACCAAATATAATCTGATGCTGTCTGAGGATATCCTCCGGATCCATATATCCTGTGGGCCAATATCCTCCGGACATTGCACGCGTACAAACACCTACCCATCCGACAATAGTCCAAAAACTGACTCCAACGTAATCTACCGTGGGATAACATGGATTTCAGTAGACGAGCGACATCTAAACACTGTACATATCTAGCACCTGCTGTAAGGGTTCGTTCTCACTTCAACCCTAACTCAGGTCTTGTTCTTGTTTGCTATTATTAGTGTCTGAATTCCGTTATTTCCTTGTTACACTTTGTATGAGCACTCCCTCACTCTTTATTCTGAAAATATCTTCTCTTCACTGGGAGCCTTAGTACAGTACACGTAATTTCCTAGTGAATGCGATACCATGACACGGGCATGGAGTTAGACGATGTTTGGTAAATCTGTAGTAATTTGTCAAAAAGTCAAACTACTTATGTGGTTGCATAAGAGTTTAGCAAATTTTCTTCACTGCCGGAGTAGATTTAGTAATTAGGGAAGTTTCTATAAAAGGCCCCAAGTCTCCCCAAAAAGAGAACTGGGAAAATAATTCTGTGTTGAAGATGCAGGGAGCATCGGTAAGACGAACTTGGATGCCTAGAGATGATGACCACGTGAGGGGGGAGTTCATCATGCTCCAGCAGGATATAAAAAACTGGGCAAGATCTTATGCTCTCTCTGATATTTCTACACTTCAGATCACAGATCGAGGAAAGAATAATGTTATTTCTAAATTAGATAGCTACTTCCGATATAGGGACTGGGAAACACTCGTCTCTGGCACAAAAGGTTATGTGCGAAAACTATTACCAAGAATTCTTGTCGAAGCGTTGTTAGCAAAGGATATTTTTGAGAACATCTTTGGTAACCCATTCTTCTGTTTTGATGAAGAGACCAAGCAGGAGGAGCAATCTCGTTCATCATTTGGCACACAACTTCTTGAACTTTATCATGAAATGCAAAAAGGTTTCCCCTCCCATTTCTATTTCAGCCCCTGCTGATAGATAATGCTTACTTCTTTTTTCAACAGTAGATAAAGCACGAGCGCATGTTTGGCGCTCTGACACCCTTCGGCTCTTGAACACACTTACGGAGTCGGGACTAGAATCAGGTCTTGCTTCTAAGGCGCAAGAGGCTAAAAGACGACTAAACAACATACAAGTACCAGACAATGTCCACCTTCCGCAGTCAGGGCCGGAGCGATTCTTCTGTTTTAATAAAGAGACCAAGCAGGAGGAACAATCTCGTTCATCATTTGGTACACAACTTCTTGAACTTTATCAGGAAATGCAAAAAGGTTTCCCCTCCCATTTCTATTTCAGCCCCTGCTGATAGATAATGCTTACTTCTTTTTTCAACAGTGGATAAAGCACGAGCGCATGTTTGGCGCTCTGACACCCTTCGGCTCTTGAACACACCTACGGAGTCGGGACTAGAATCAGGTCTTACCTCTAAGGTGCAAGAGGCTAAGATACGACTAAAAAACGGTCGAGCACACCCCTTCCGCTTTCCGGGCCCGGAGCCAAGTCTTACCTCTAAGATGCGCGAATCGAGAAAACGAGTAAGCATGAAACGAGCAGAAGACTTCTTGCAGGGTCCTGTGCAATCATTACGTGGAAAATTGAATAATGAGTGTGAGAAAAGCCTGGCAGAAATCTATATCTGGGCGGCCGAGCTAGCTGCTCTTCTGTGGACAGAGAGGGCGTACATGACAATCGACAGACTGCCCCGGCTAGACGTGTTTTCTATGAAATCCCCAGAAATGTTGGCTCATCCTTCTCACCAGATCTATGAGAAATATGAGAAAGACGACAGGCTGGACCAAAACAATATTTTACTCGTGGTGTATCCGCTCGTCTCAGCCTTTGGATATGATGACGGAGATTCTTATGATCAGGATACCGTATGGGCGGAAGGAATCGTGTTGATTGAAGACAGATTAGTTACCCAATATTAGTCATTATGTAGATCTCGCTCAACAGTCTTATATTCTGCCAATCCTTTCTGTACTCGCAGATTAACCAGAGAGCATCACACTATGCAATTGATCTTGTCCACAATCAAGTTAATATAGCAAAGAGAGCTACAGTTGTTTGCAAAAACGGTGCACGTTTTCTCTCTATTCAATTGTTTACTGATCCCTGTAGCCAAGGGAAGCTAAACTATTTTTGTAATTATTCCGAAGCCCCTGTCTCACATCTCTGTATCGACTAGTACGGAATACGCGATGACTCATAGCACTAATTTACGTGTATCGGTAATTACCTATGCCGTATTCCACGTGGTTACTTATAAGGTAAGACCCTCCCGGAAGATCTCCCGGAAGATCATGTAGATTAGCCTTTAGTGGCATTGATTGCTACCAAGATGGCCCCAAATTTGCCACCCTCAACGCGAGAATTCATTCATGGTATGCTGATGAGTAATGAGCTCACCACATCCGAGATTGCGGATGCTGCTAAATGCGATCCGAGCACAGTAAGCAGGCACAGGACCAACTTGCACTTATTTGGTACCACGACGGCTCCTCCAAACAAAAAGGGACGCCCACGAAGTCTTCCACCAGTGATGATTAAAGCTCTTTGCGATCATCTCCTTGAAAAGCCTCAATTATACCTTGATGAGATGATCGTATTCATTTGGGACGAGTTCGGTAAAAGGGTGAATGAATGGAGCATAAGTCGTGCTCTGAAACGTGAAGGTTGGTCTAAGAAGACTTCGAAACGAAAAGCAAGGCAGCGGAATCCCGAGCTACGCGATGGCTATCTACATTTAATATCCGACTTTCAGTCATATCACCTAGTATATGTAGACGAGTCAGGATGTGATAAGAGGGCAGGTTTCAGAAGGACAGGCTGGTCTCCTCTTGGTACATCACCATCCCAAGTGGCTCAGTTCAATCGTGATCAGCGGTATCAGATCCTTCCAGCCTATGCTCAAGATGGAATCATCATGTGTCGCATATTCAAAGGCTCAACTGATGCCTCGTTCTTTGAGGATTTTATTGAGGAACTACTTCATCACTGTGGAAAATGGCCAGAGCCAAAGTCAGTTATTATTATGGATAACGCCTCCTTCCATCATTCCGACAAGCTAGAAGATATGTGCTCAAGAGCTGGTGTCAAATTGGTATACTTACCCCCATATTCTCCTGATCTCAATCCGATTGAGGAGTTCTTTGCTGAGTTGAAGGCCTTTATCCGGCGTCATTGGCAATATTATGAGGATAACCCGGATCAAGGGTTTGATAGCTTCCTCGATTGGTGTGTTGAGAAAGTAGGTGAAAGGGCCGGAAGTGCAAAAGGGCACTTTCGAAATGCAGGCCTAACAATTGAAGAGGCGCCTAGCTGTAAGTAGAACCCCAAATTCGAGATGCAAGACAGGGAAATACAGGGGAACCTATTCCAATAATCAGCATCGATCATCGTTCAGATATCAAAACAAGACTAAATTACAGCACTGTAGCCTAGCTGATAAGAGAAACCAACACCGCATTTCTAATATGAAGACGTGCCCCTAGTTATGCTCATATAATGGCCTTAGAATTAGATTCTCGCTGAGATGACCCATCATCTCTTCCCCTTCGGCTATAATAGTATGATCGCTGCTATCGTCGACGGGCGGCGTTGTGTCTTGTAGAATAACAGCATAGGCGTCATCTACAGAGCAATTCGACAGCTCCAGGTATGTTAAAGAGAGGTGATCTCGTATCCGCTTAAGAAGCCGTCTCCATGATTCTAAACTAGGTAGGCTGATGGTATCTAGGATGACTTCTCGGAGAGTTGCCTTATATGAGACGAGGATGAGATCCAATTCCTCTTCCCCGCCCTCAAGCGCACTGATTCGAAGGGCACAGAGTTTCTCCAGACGAATGTTTTCATGTAGCGCCTTCAGATACCGTGCCTCCATACGGTAGTCAAACTCCAAGGAAAGCTCTTCTAGGCGGTCGAAGTGCATGATGAATCGCCCTAGATCAGTTGCCCATGCTGCCACGTCCGCCTCAGTCGGGGTATCCAAGAATAATCCCAGAGTGTGTAACGCGGATAGAAAAGCTTTGTTGGTTATAGAGGCCTCGGGGATTTGCAACATGCTTGGCTTCGGTAAAAAATTTCCTCGTCTCACGTCCAGATTAAACCGTTGGAGGGTAGTACGACTAGTGGTCACGGCCGTGAAAATAATAGGAATCATTTCAGTCAAAAATTGCAAACTCTCCTCGGTTTCCAAAATTGAGGATGGATAAATACCAGTCTGTTCTTTGAACCAACCCAAACCCCACGTTTGGTGGTCCCAGTCATCGTTAATCGCTATGGTTTTGCAGTTTCTTGATTTGGACAAGACTTTCGCAAGAGATGCAGCATAATACCCAGTTTTTTTGAGGTAATTCTGTTCAGCCAAAAGTTCCAGATATCTCTCTTCAGATATCGTGACGCCCTTTGAGACCTGCATCGTGACCAGATGGTGATCTGACAGATGATATGGGGTAATTACGAGCCGATGCAGCGATGGGCAAAAGACTGGATGGTTGGTGATGTCCTGAAGGGTTTCTAGACTATGTCGGCTAAGCATATGGTGTCGCACACGAAAATACCGTCTGCTAAAATAAGGTAGTAGCTGTCCTTGAAGATGTCTGCTGACCAAGCGAATATTAAAGAAATCTATATCCTCAAAGTAACTTGCGACCATTTCCAAGAGCTCGATCGGAAGTGCATTCATGGTGTTGCTTATCAGAGGAGGATGATTGGGAAACTTGATGGGCTCAGGTTCGGATTTTTAGAAATGCCGGAAGGTGGTTCGAAATAATACTGGACCGATTACCACGTGATACGTAACCGTCAAACGATATGCGGGTTGCGAAGCGTCGGCAGCGAATCGCGTACTAGTAACGGGTTTCAATGGGAAATAAATAGGCTTGCTACCAATACCACGGCGGTCGGCTTAACATTTGCCCCACTCTGTACCATGAGGAGATCCCGCTCCATCGCAACCATCGTGAAGTTTGAGTCACCACTCACCTCTCACCTCTCATTACCCATGATATCTTTCGGTCACTTAGATTTCCCAGATCCCCTTATGCTGAGTATCTTCTGAAAACTAAGAACAAAATATCCGCTTCAACATTTTTCACCTATCAAATATGTCAAGTGAAAAATGGTCTTCCCCCTCGCCATCCACGTCTTTGCCTGCCACATCCAAACCGATCAATGACAATGTTCTGTATCGGTATTCAACACTTTTAGCGATCAAAGTCCTCAAGCGTATTCGGCCTCGGGAGGGGAACGTCCTCATGTTAACGGACAGATTATGTGTCAAGTACGGGCGCCGCGTACATTTATCCGAAGCATCAACAATGCATTTCCTATCGCAACATACATCTCTTCCAGTACCCAGAGTCTTATGCGCTTTTACCTATTCTAAGCGGACATACATTGTGATGGAAAGAATTAAGGGAGACATAATCGGCAATGGATGGATCAAACGAAGTGAAGAGTCAAAGACGAAACTTCTTTCGCAACTAGGAAAATTGATCCGTGAGATGCGCGACCTCCCGCCTCCTAAAGGGGTGGGAGTTGCTTCTATTGATGGTGGATCACTTTTTGACTGCCGTGTCCCAGGGCACTCCTTACGTTTTGGTCCCTTTGATACTATTCAAGACTTCCATAGGCATATACGCATGGGCATGGATTTTGATTCAAGTCTTGACCCTGAGATTCAAGAACTTATAAAGCTGCAAAACAAGACTTGGCCTTTAGTATTTACTCATGGCGATCTTAGCAGCCTTAATATTCTTGTGCGTGGGGATAATATTGTTGGTATCATTGATTGGGAAACTGCTGGTTGGTATCCATCATATTGGGAATACACTTCTGCCCATCAGGTCAACCCACAGAATTCTTTTTGGGTCAGCGAGATAGATAAGTTCTTACAGCCAATGCCTGAAGAGCTTGCGATGGAACGATTGCGTCAAAAACATTTTGGAGACATTTGAATAATCACGGCATGTAACGTAACTTATACAATGATCTCCTTTCGCTCCATCAAGTCATATGTTGGAACCTTTCTCATATCAAAGTTGCCCTGGCCGTCAAAACGGTGCTGATCTTTCTTGCGTTGGCAATAATTCATTGCCTCGCCGCGCACCTTTTCCCATTCAACGATGCTCGTACCTAGAGCCTTGGGATCAACTCTAAGCTTCTCCAAAGCTTCTTTTACCCAACCGACACAGTTCCAACCTGGCTGACCTTGCCGAATCGGCGTATTCCGCAGAATTTGAACTAAGCGATTTCCATCCTCAATCTTTCCAATCACGATACGAACAAGCAACATGCTGGTAGGAGCGAGTGGACACTCCCTCTCCTCGAAAAACCATTCCGATCCGCCTCCCAACTTTGGCCTCTCCTTGGCGTGGTAACGAACACCTATGCCATCTTCTGCTTCAACTTTTGGTCCCACTATCAAGGCCCAGTGGTACCTAATTTAGAAGAGACATTGACATTTGTATGCGAAAAGTTCCTATATCATGAACTCACGTGTCTTCTTTGCCTGGCATGGTGGGATTACCTCCACGCGCGTAGAGACCAACGTACAGACGATCTTTGTTGGATGGCATTGTGCATGCGATCTTGATAAGAGATAGCTAGATTTGGCTTTAACTGGAGTATATATCGTGCAAAGAATAATTGGTGGTAGTAGACTATTCTTAAGAATCGCTTCACAAACAAGAGGAACTATATATTCATGCATTTCCAGATTGCCCGAGTCGTTACCAAAAGAGTTGGTAGCCGCTATTTGTGTGATGAGATGTGACGTAGAAACTAAATTTCCAATCAAGTGTCTTCCCTTTGGCGCTTAATCCATGCATCATGGCCAAAATATACATTTAACTGTGGTGACCGGAGTCTCATTTCTCATTCGTTGGATAAGATAAAGTGATGACTTGTCTCCCAGTGACCCAGTCAATTCAGACTTGGGGACTTGGCAGTGGGGCAAGAAGATGTTAAACGCCGAGATTACATGAATGCCTAAAGCAAGCTAGTTAGTTAACTAACTTACGCCAACCAATCTAACTCCCGTATGACCGATGTGTGTGTGTGTGTGTGTATATTTAACGGCCGTGGTTCGTGACTCGCACGCTTCCCACCGATCCCTGCTGGGACATAGGCCGCCGAGGGGTAAGCCTCGGGTTTCGGGTCCTATCAGATTTATGTACAAATAAGAGACTCTTTGGCGCATTTCCATAGCTGCCGTGGTCTTACAGGAAGGTCCACTTTGAGTGGGTTTTAGGTATTTGCCAGCTGCAATGGTCCGCCTACACTCCATGACCTATTACTCCACCACTATTATAACTGAACAGTAAGTTTTGCAGAGAGGGAAAGAAAGAAGAGAAGAGAAAGAAAGAAAGAAGGAGGAGAAATATAAAGGAAGAGTAGGACTGTCTTAGCTAGGTGCTAAGGAGAGGTTGGCGAGGGCAGATATCCTCAAAGAAGTGGGTCTCTGCTAGCCATGTGGCTAGCTTTTGTGCTCCTTTAGCAGTGCCTAAGAGAAAAGAGATGACCTCAGAAGGGGGCCCAGGAGGCCGAGGGGCTCGTCTCTTAGCTATATGACAGAAGAAGAAGTGCAGAGGTGCTTTTCGTGCTCCGCATCGGCAGAGAAGATAAGCATCATCATGGTTGAAGCGTTCATGGTAGTCTGCAAAGTCTCCGTGACCAGTACGGGCCGCAATAACATGGCCGAGGTCAAGTCGGTTGAGTTGAAGCTCCCCAGGGCGCTTAGGGGAAGTGGTTATTTCTAGATCTTGATAGCTCTGTGGTGCCACCTTCTCCCATTGTGACTGAGCAGCGGATAGGGATTGAGTCTTGGCGTATCTCTTTAGCGAGGCGTATGAGGATTTGTGAGGAGCAGGAGGGATTGAAGCAGCTCCCTCTTTGGCAGCGAGATCAGCCGCTTCGTTCTCAGGGATTTTGACGTGTCCAGGGACCCATCGGATTTGGATAGATCCGCTTTTGGTGTGAGGAAGCCTTTTGCGAAGTGGCCAGGCGGCTGCAAGGGTGTGGAAGGATTCAAAGATTTCTTGGGAAGATCCTGTAGAGGGAGATAGAAGGCGTATGGCAACTTCCAGGTTGTCAAGGCAGATCCATAGGTTGGTAGCAAATTGAGCTGTTGGGTACGCTATTGCTGCTTGAGCGCCAGCTAGAGCTGCTTCTGCTTCTGCGTTGAAGACCTCTTTCCCGTGTCCGTATGAGAGTGAGGAGCGGAGGAACTGATGGTGTGCTTAAAGTCTAATATAGCCACCCCCTGCACGTCCGTCTGCTAGCCTAGATCCATCTGAAAAGATTACAATATCTGAGCTAGGGATGGTACGTTGAAAAGCCATGAAATTAGCCGCTGCCTGTTCCTTAGTGCGTCCCATGGGAGCTCCTATTCGAGCTTGAGCATTCCCACGAGGCTCGCGAGGGTGCCAGGGAGCGTATTGGAGAGGGTTTATCTGTTCAGAGTTTGGGAGGGCCAGTGTACGGCGGGCAAATCGGCTGATTTGTTGGCCATTACTAGCGATCTGTTCTGCGCGTCTTCGAAGTGGGTGATAAGGGTCGAGACGCCGTAGGCGGACAGTTGCAAGGAGGGCTATTCGATCTAGTTCGATTTCTGGTGGAGAGAATCTAGACTCTCGATAAAGGACTGGCTTTAGGGTTGTGCGGAAGACTGGAAGGACTGCTCTTGCGCCTGTTAGTATTACTTTAGTTAGTTTCTCAAGATGTTCTCCAACTCGGTTTGAAATCTGGGAAGGTCCAGGGCGAGTACGTCCTGGCCACCAGGTTTCTGCGCCATAGTATGCTTTATGGAGTACACAGGCTGATACAGCCTGCTGTAGTAAATCAGGTTTAACTCCTTGAACAGTATTCCCTAGAGAGCGAAGAGCGTTGGCCATAGTAAGGGCTTTAGATGCTGTTTCTCTAACGTGCCATTTGAACGTTAGCTTTTTGTCAAAGAGGATTCCTAGCCATTGTAGATATAGCCGTTTAGTGTTTTCTGATATTGTAATAGATCTAGCTTTCACTGAAGGTGTGCGGGTTGGGTCCTGGTCTGCTTTATGTTGGGAGAAGTGAAGAAGCTCGTATTTATCTGGTGCAAATGTAATGCCCTCTGCAGCGCCCCAATTAAGAGCTTCTTGAAGTGAGTCTGATAAGGCTTCGCAATTAGTAGCAAGAGAAGTTGAGATCGCTAGGTTGGCTGCGTCGTCCGCGTAACCAAATCTGTTCCTTGGGTTTCCTAGACGGAATAGAGGCGCTATGTAGAGCATGAATAGAATGCCAGATACTGGGGATCCTTGTGGAAGACCGCAGGTAATGTTTGTTGAGGGGCCGATCTCTCCATCGAGTCGGATCTGAACTGATCTTCCAGTAGTGAAGGAGGCAATCCAGAGAACGAGATTGGTTGGCCAGCCCTGCTCACGTAGTCTGTGGATTAGTCTGCCAGGAAGTACGGAATCAAAGGCGCCTTTGATATCTAGGGTAAGGAGTGAGGCAGTCATGCCTTGATTTAGTGCTTGTTTAACATCATGTGTTAGGCATGTGGTCAGGTCAGTTGCAGATCTTAGTGGGAGAGCCCCAAATTGTTGCCTTGCTAATACTTTATGGTGTATAGAGATCCATGCCATATTCTGTGCCACTAAGCGCTCCAGTCCTTTGCCAAGTACTGATAGGAGAGCGATTAGTCTGTATGATCTAGGTGAAGACCAATCAGTCTTTTTTGGTTTCTGGATGATTGCTAAGATTGCGTGTCAAAAGCATTTAGGATGATAACCAATCTTTAGGCACCCTTGATATAGCATTAGTACCTTATCTTTGATCAGAGGCCATGCTACTTTGAGTATGCAGGTTGGGATTTCATCTGCGCCAGGGGCTGTGTTTCCTGCCTGAAGTACTGACTCCTCCACTTGTAGCATCGATATATCTGGGAAGTAGAGACTAGTGGGAGGCACTGCTGGGGAGTCCAGAGGTATGTCTCCTGCCTCTGCCGAGTTCTGGAGAAGATTGCGGACTAGTACGTCTCGTTTCTCGTGTACAGTAACTGCTGGGAGGCTGTTGGGCCTTAGTGGATCTTTTAGTGGAGGGCTTCGGAAGATGCCTGTAGACTTATGCCATTTGCTCATGTTAAAAACATCCTTCATTTGTGTTACCGTAGAGAGCTTCTCTCGCCAAAATTGTCGTTGAGACCATCTAGTTATCCTGCGGAAGTCTGTCTTTGAGCAGAGGCCTAAGCAGTAATTGTGTAAAGCTTTCTTGCAGTCTTTGTTCCACCATGGTTATCCTATGCCTTGTGTCATGGTCCTCTTAGCAGAGCCTCTATATGCTCATTGAATTGCAGATGTTAGTTTTTCAGCAAGGGCATCAAGATCTTCTTCTGTTGCGGCTGAGCTCTCGGTGCCAGCGAGATTAGAGGCGAGGAGCGAGAGGAAGGAGGTGTGGTCTAGTGTGTCAAATCTCAGTTTCTGAGCTGTTTCCTTGTATCTCTGATCCCATGGAACAGTGGTAATTAGTGGTTGATGATCAGAGGTAGCATCTAAGTGGCTCGCTATGCTAGCTTTGGCTCCTGCGAGTGCCAGAGGGCTTGAGGCGAAACTGAGGTCTAACACGTTACCCCTTTCATGTGTGGGACAGTCTATGTCGGAAATGAGTACTAGACCCTGGAGATCCAGCCAGTTGATAAACGGCTCTGCAAAAGTTGTAGGGCTGCGTTGTAGCGAGGGTTGCCATCTGTTGTGTAGTAGGTTGAGATCGCCTGCAAGTATCGTTGTTTGAGGGAAATACGCCTCTGGCAGGGTTGTGAGAGCTTTCGCGGCTTCACCTGCTCTGCTGCAGCCTGCTGGGGCATTATAGATGTTAACTATCAGAGCAGACTTTCCTGTGGGCGAAAAAATCTGAAGGAACAGGAGATCCGAGGCTTCTTTAGTGTCAGTTGTAAAGGGGCGCAGCTGGGAGGTCCGGATGCCTTTCTTCTTTCGGACATAGGTGAGGACTCGTGGTCGGCCACTTATTGCCCAGCTATCAGTTGGGGAGAAGCATTCATATGATGGATGTTTTTTTGTGATCTGTCGGCTGAGGTCTTTGAATGTATATGGTTCTTGGATTAGGATAATATTGATGTCGCTAGTGTATGCCAATGTGAGGGCTATTTCATGTGCGTCTGGCGCGTGCTCTACATTCAACTGTAGGATTTTGAGATGCGCCTTTTGAGTTGGATAGTGATAGATCATAACTCCTATTCAAGAAGAGAGGCGAACCGGTTTTGTGGTTGAGGGGTTGTAAAACGGACTGCACGAGCTGTAATGGGAGGATCTTCAGTTGGGGCGCGAGGTGGGGGGGTTACTGAACGGAAAGGAGAGATAATCTTATGGATTAAAGGCTGTGATGGCATCTCATCTAATGCCATAGGTGTTTCTTGTGTGCCTATAGAGAGCTGAGAGCTACATCCTCTTTTAGTTCGAGCTTTTGCGAGGTTTATAGCGCAGGATTTGCGGATCTCTGTTTGTTGAGCTTTAGTATGTTTAGTATTGCCTTTAGGGTGCAGAAGGCATTCTGCGAAATCAGCTAGATGTAGTCCATGGCAGTGTATACATCTAGGAGGGCATTGATGAGGCTCTGGGGCTGTGCAGCGGTTGACATGGCCCTCTTCAGTATGCTCTGAGGAGCCGCATAGTCGGCATCGAGAGGGGCGTGCACAGGATCGTGCATTATGCCATTTCCAGCATCGTGTGCATTGAATAACTGTTGTTTTTTTAGAGAGGTGACGAGCATTGGTGATAGTGCCAAAAAGACGTAGCTGGATAGGCAGTGGTGATTTCGTGCCTTCTGGGAAGTTGACAAACCAGCTTGAGGAGAGAGTATCAGGGTTGGCAGCGCTCGTAGTGGTCTCGCTAATAGATATAGGCTTGAGCCCTGTAGTTTCGCTAATTTCTAAGGATAGTAGTGTAGGATTGACAGGGATTAGAGAGTATTGACCATCTAAGATTTGGCCAATTTTCCTTGGCACGTTGGTGACTCGGTACGAGACCCATCGGGAGCTGCGTTCTATCTGGCAGTTAACAAAGAATGCAGAGATAGTCTCTTTTTAGGCCTCAAGGACTGGGAGGGCTTCTGGAGATGAGGGGCATAGTGCAAAGCCAGTCTTTGTAGCTTGGACTTCTTTTAGTGCTGCACTATTTAAGTTTAGTTGAGATCATAGGCTAGAGTAGATAGCGTAGGCTTCCATTTTTCTGGCTGCATGGTCAGCTGGGAGGCGTACGAAGAGCTGGATGTTAGGAAGGGGTTGTTTTACCAGAGGTATAGGCTTTTTGATGGAGGCTTTAGGGTGAGTGGTGGGAGTTAATTTGACTGGGGTATATTGGGTAATAGTAGCATAAGTTGACTGGTTAAGACCTGAGGGGGGATGTGAGGGAGGGGGTGAAGGGGGTAAGGGATTTAGGGTGGGGGAAGAGGAAGGGGAAGGAGACAGGGCAGGTAGAATGGAGGTCGTCAAGATACCGCTAATATAAGTGTTGAAATGTTGTTGGGCTACCGAGGCGAGGTCATCGTTTAGAGTGGTGAGGGCTCTCAGTAGGTGAGGAGCAAGGCCGGTGGTTTAGCTGCGGTGTTTATCAAGGAATACAGCTATGGGGCTGAAGATCTTCTGTCCTTCAGAAGCTCTTGTTGTGGCTGCAGACGTGGATTCCAGAAGGGCTGTCTGTAGAGGGCCGTCTGTACCAGGGCCTTTACGCGCCATGGTGTTGCCGGGCGCGTTGAGACGCGTCAAAGGCTGCACTCCTGGGAGCTAGGTGGTAGAGAGGGTTGAGGATTTTGAGCCTCCGACTGTTTGATATAAATAATTATAAGGAAGTCGCCTATCAACTCGAAAATCGTTTTTTTTACCTACAACTCAGGGGTTGAAGCTATAGCTAGTCTCGGAACGACTAGTGTCACGTGACCTTACGGTCAGATTCTTTACAAGAACTTATGGTGTTGATCCTTCAAATTTCTCGAAACGCTTTCGCGGTGTTACGGGCTCAAAAAAAGCACAATACAACAATCAACAATTACTGAACAACGAGCAATCAAAGGCGCTTATAAAATGGATAAATCAACTTACCGAGAGAGGCCTGCCACCTACGAATTCAATGTTAGCCAACTTTGCGAGGGATATATAGGGTAAAGAGCCTGGGAAAAGTTGGCTAGCCGTTGGATAAAGGCTCATTCAGATCAGGTCATTTCTCGCTTTTCCACAGGCCTAGATACGGATAGGAGAAAGGCAGATTTGGCATGGAAACATGCATTATATTTTGAGCTTATTGGCCGGAAAATTACGCAATATAACCTTTCCCCAGAGCAAATTTACAATATGGACGAAAAGGGCTTCATGCTTGGGATAACCACAAAAGAGAAGAGAATCTTTTCTCGGCGCAAATATGAGCATGGAGGACTCAAGCAGCATCTTCAGGATGGGAATCGGGAATGGATAACCACAATTGCTTGTATTTGTGCCAATGGAACCGCTATACCACCTAGCTTAATCTATATGGCAAAATCAGGCAATATCCAGGATTCTTGGCTCCAAGATTTTAATCCTAAAGAGCAAAGATGTCTTTTACAGCCTCTGATTCAGGATGGACTAATCATGAGCTCGGATATCAATGGTTGGTGGATGTTTTTGATAAAGAGACAAAATCTCAAGCTAGCCGGGGATGGCGCCTCTTAATCCTCGATGGCCATGGCTCCCACGTCAATATGAGGTTTATTGAATACTGTGATAGGAATAGGATATTATTGGCAATATTCCCGGCTCATGCAACTCGTACTTTACAGCCTCTTGACGTTGCTTTATTTGCTCCTCTTTCCAAGGCTTATACCAAGGAATTGAGACGATTTTTGGATGATTGTCAAGGATTGACCCGGCTCAGCAAACGGGACTTTTTTCGGCTTTTTTGGGCTAGCTGGAAAATAGCTTTTACAAGCGACAATATCAACTCAGCCTTCAAAAATACTGGCTTTTATCCTTTCAATCCGGAACTCGCTATACAGCGTTTTACTCAAAAACCTGAAATCCTGCCATCATCAAGTGAATCATCGGCTTCAATTATCAAAGCAGAAGATTGGCGACGTATTTCAAAGCTTGTGAAGGACGCCGTTAGTAATGTTTATGAAGAAAAAGCTCATCAGCTTCATGATACCATGCTTCATCTTTCGACAGAGAATATCTTGCTCAAAGCCCAGGTTGAGGGCTTACAAAGAGGTATTTCCAATATTAATAAACGCCAGGCCAAGAAAAGAACATTATTATTAGATTTGCCTGCAGAAAATGAAGGTGGTGCTATCTTTTTTAGCCCTTCAAAGGTTCAGCAAGCTCGAGATCTTCAACTTCAAAAAGACGAGAATGCCGCGCAAGAGCAAGCTCGTAAAGATGACAAAGCTTCAGCAGCAGCTTAGAAAGCAAGCTAAAGAGCTTCAAAAGGTTGAAAAGGCTCAAATCCGGCAAAAGAAGCGAGAACAGCGCCAACAAGAGGCTATAGAGAAGTGCATGAGTTTCAGTACGTTGAGATTTAGATTACTTCACAAAAGCAGTTGATTTTGGTTCCAACAGAATGCACAAGTAGAACTATGGAACGGTTTGCAAATACCACAAAATTACAAGAATCCCTTTAAGGGCGTCCTTTTTGGTGAAACGGTATTACGTTTGAGTTTCCAAGAAAAAATTGCAAAGTTGGTGATACTTGACTAAATTAGGTTTAGCGGAAAAGCGTTCTAACAAATATCAATGATAACGGGACGGAAAAAGATTTGCTTCTGTGCGACAGGGAAAGAGATCCATCCATACTTCTAATCACACACAGAATGGCTAGCTCGGGTCGACTCAACATTAGAGTCTAACTCCGTACTAATACTATCTTTTATCATCAGACAACCTGACAATAAATGTTCCATTGTAGCAGCCAGCTCAACTTTTCTTAGTAAGCTCACTTTTCTAAACAAGTCGCCTGCCGAAGTAGCAGTCTGTTTTTCGCTAACAAGTTGCAGAGTTGCTCCAAAGAACGTACTTCATGGCCACTGGTATATTGACTCTAAGTTGACGGCTATCTGACTATCCCTCGAAGGATTATTTTACCTGAATTCATTACGTTATTACGCTACAAGCGTCGGTTTTCGAAAACTCGCTCCTGCTACCCTTTCCGGCTCACAATTGCTTATCGGTTAAGAACAAGCATGTCTGCATCTCCGAGCAAGGACGAGTCAAGGAGCGATTATGTTGCCAATCGCACTCCTGTCGACGCTAATATAGACCACACTTCGTCTATGAGATATTGGAATAAGACCCCAGCAACGGTTAATGCCATGCTAGGTGACCTTGGTAGCTTCTCATGGTATTCACGTATTGATCTGCGCGGTTCGGCGAATTTCTTAGCCAAGGTTCGTCGATTAGTACCAAGTACTATGACTCAGAAAAGATTCAAGCTCGGTGTAGATTGTGGCGCAGGTATAGGACGTGTGACCAGTGGTCTTCTCCAGCAGGTTTGTGAAGTCGTGGATGCGGTAGAGCCAGTAGAGAATTTTGCTTCTCTTCTACGGCAAGCGCCGTTAAACGAACATGGATCGGTTGGAGATATCTATGTCACAGGCTTGGAAAACTGGTATCCTACGAAGAAATATGACCTAATTTGGTGTCAATGGTGTGTATTGGTCATATTACAGATACACAACTGACCGAGTATCTCGTGCGCTGTCGGGCTGCATTGACGGAGACTGGAATTATGATCATTAAAGAGAATATATCGTCGGATCCCGCCGGAAATGATATGTATGACGACTTGGACAGCAGCGTAACGAGATCGGACCGGAAGTTTCGAGAAAAATTTAAAGAGTCGGGGATGACCTTGGTCACATCGGAGATACAAGGGGGGTTTCCGAAGAAATACAAACTTCTTCCGGTCCGATCTTATGCCTTGCGACCGCAGGCCAGGGCCTAAGCGATTTTCAGTGGCCAACGTTTCTGAACAATTCTCATACCATTGGACATTGGGAAGCCAATGTCGTTCCAATAAAACATTCGAACCTGCTGTTGCCGCTACGAAGCAGCGGATAGTCTTGTGCAGCGACATCATACAGTACGTAGCATTTTATCCTACGTTCGTGCTAGAAAGTTCAGAGAGCTGAAGGATGTCTTTTATTGGTATATTTTTCGGGGAGCGGGTGGGGGGGCACATCGTCTTGTCATCTCCGGAATAGCCTCGAATTTAAGTCACATCTACACAAAAGTTTTTATACTTCGAGCCATGTAAGTAGATAAATTATCAAGAGCGACAGCTGTAAAGAATCTGTAATGTGATGCTTCCATGCTGCGCTTGGTAAGTATGAATCTCTAGGTCACTGATCATCCTACACTTTCGTATCATATCACGTGTCCTACGTATTACTTCCGGACTCTATCTTTCCTTTGAGCAATTTGATGAAGTCGTAATGGTCTAGTGGCTCGAAAACAGCAGTTCCAATTTCCACCCTACGAATTCCTCGAACAGAAGAGAGTTCACGGATGCCAGGGTCAGCCTGAAAGCTAGCAATCGACATGTTTGATATCAAGTCGGGTTCGAAATAAAGGCGGAGAAATGCTAGCCTGCGGCATTCCTTCAGGAGTTGAACACATATCAGCACGTGGAGGGCAGGAAGATGAGAATTGTTATCGTCGGATTCAAGGTATTTGCCCATTTGGAATTAGATATGCAATATCAATAGGAAGACTCAACATGGAATAGGAATAGGAACCAAGTCAGTCACAGCAAAGCCAACACTAATTAACTACCCCCACCCTCAGCTTTCATCCAGGGATACGAAACGCGACACCAGTCAACAACACCATGTTCGGGTAAAATTCTGTTCTTGGAACGTTGCGGCTTCTGCACCGTGGGGCATTTCTGAGCGTTAATAAAACGGTAGAATTTGCATTGGATTCCCGGTATGTTTCGCTTTGTGTGCCCCTGGCTGCAAAAGTGTTCGTTGAAGGCCGCTATGCAATCTGGCCATTCTTTCTCAAGATCTACACGGTGGTACCAGATGAAATGCATTTCTTCACGCGTGTATCTTGGCCGAGGTGGTCTTCGATGTCCACTTATTGTGGTTGAGGTGGAGTAGGCGCTGAAGACCAAGTTAGAATCTTCATATTTGTGCCTCCCTACTGATGCTTTTCGTTGTAGTTCCTTGTTGCTACCGCCGATCTTTGTGAGATATCTTTGCTCATGACTGCCGTGATGTGTCTTTGGCGGGAGTTGATGCCGACGACCAGCCTGCGTGTCCTTGGTAATGTTGATTTGCAAGCGTCGAATCGAGGAGTCAAAAGGGTGTCGTCGCCCCTTGATATCTGCATCTTCTTGCTGCGGGTTCAACAGCGATCTGATGGACATGGAAGTATTGACTGCTGTCATGGTGTGCTAGGTATGTGGTGAAATCATCGATTTGAATTACAGGTCACAGACTGAATAGGAGTATCGTCTAATACGTAAAAGGGATCATATCAGGAATTATTAATCGGTGCGTGTATATAAACATCAAATTCATCCTTATCCATTAAAGGAATGATATTCGGTGAAGTTTACTAACATTACTCAAGATACCATAGTACGTTCTGATTTTAAGACGGAAATAGGGGCTCGAAAATACGGGCTCGACTTAGTACATCCAGGTTAAAGATGGAGTCGAGCTTTTAACATGCTAACGAATAGTATTTGGTGTATGTGAAGTAGCGTCCTACCTGAACCAGCGAATAATCGTGGACATGACTTAGACAGGCCGCGGGAATTTCCACCGTATTTGTTTTAGTCTGTGACCTAAAGGCTAACTGTCTTATCTGATAGACTGACTGAGCTAGTAATGGTAAATTCCTAATATTATGAATCTATGACTGATCCTAAGAACTAGGGGGTGTGGATAATGAGGCGTAGTTATTCCCATGTGCGCTAGTGCACGGGAAAGTTATCCCGTTCCATAGCTGAGGCAACTTTATCTAGATTAGGAATGGTAACAAGCCATCTACACCATCTAGCTCACCAGGGATAATTAGTAGCTATTTAGCGGAATCTAGTAATTCATTCCTACTGGTCTAAGGTTAGCGCCTAGCACAATTTTGCCAAAGCCATGCATAGTTAATACTGTCTAGAGCAACCCCTATATCACCTATTCATAGCTATTATTCTCATTGCATTATTATTCTTTATTATGGTATAGTCCCGCCTAATGCTCACTATAAGGGCATACTTGAATAGAAAACGTAACATGAGGAGAGAAAGAGAAAAGGACACAAGATTTCGTCATTTATATAAGTTTATATAGAAAAAGGGAACGCTCATGCTGGGCTGGGTTCGGCGCTGGATATCTGTATAATTGTATACACCATATGAGTGTCAAGTTATGAAGTCTTGTTAAGGGGCAGATCAGTTAATCAGAATGAACCTTTGCCATCTGGAAATGACTTCGAGCTCCAGGTTGCGCTCCAGCATACTGGGCGTAGAAGTGAATAAAAACGATACAGATTTTCTAGTGAGGGCTTCACCTAAATCATATCAACATAAGGTCAGCTCATAACATCCACTATGATTTCCATTTCATTCCTAGCGTACCTAGATCATTAGCATTGTCGAGTAGATAGCGTATAGAAGCATCTATTCACGTACAAGACTAGTATATCCCTAACTATACTCGGATTATGCGGGTCCTTGTGGTATACTAGTAGTAGTAGTAGTAAATTCATTACGCCTGGAGGCACTAAGCCTAAAGGGCTCCAATACGCTATCTGCTTTCTATTGCATACACTGTGGTCATAGTCTCATTTCGAAATGAAAAGCTGTACCAGATTCAAAAACCTCTCTAGCCCATACGCTATATCTTTATCGTTTCTTCTTTGTCGTTGTAGTTATAATCCCCAAAAGCAATAACCCATCCCTCTGATACTCTAATACACCGGACCTCCCACGCGTCCATTCTCGATGTAGTTTTATGAACCTCTTCCCTGAGTAGCAATTTACCAAGAGTACTTCTCACATTAGCGCCCGACGTAGCTGGCTGCCTCGCTGGCGGCAACACCAGATAGCAGACGAAAGATTGACAAATCGACATAGGACTGAACCAGTAGGGCAGGTGAGTTATCATCAGCAAAGTCTGGCGAGTATCAATTGATAGTAGGTGGTTAGGTTAGTGATTTAAAGGTTCATCAATATCGTGAGGCTATTGACATGTTCTTTTGTGTAAAGATTATAGCCTTCGGGCCGATATTTATCCGTACGGGATAGAACACCTCACTCCTTAGATAGTTTCCTAGATAACAAGCAGAAAGGACAAGAACGTTGAGAACGCTCCAACAAGATATTACAATCCCCAAAGGGGAGCGTACAACTGATATTTCTACTACTGCTCATAATCCTCGGCAACCAGATCTTCCTCTAGAATCTTAACATTTTGAAACTCCCCTGCCAGGTTGTCCCAACCAGTAAAGTTTTTCCTACTGGAGTTTCGATTTGAAAAGTTCTTAGCTTTAGCTAGATCATGTAGTCCAACTTACTGAAATCCCTCGCCATAAGAAGGTGACTTTCCACAAGGGACTATGGTATACTATGTATAGGCTACCGAGTATATTTTGGATGTGTCGTGCTAGTGTCCCATCGCTTAGCGCACCCTTAGTGGGGCCGGACAATCATAGTGGGTAGCCGAGACGGTGAATTAGCCAATCACTGTGTATGTTTTCGCCGTCTTGTCGGATTGCTGGGTTAGGGTTAGGCTACTTCTGAATAGTAGCTTACAACATGACTAGTAATATTGTACGTATTAAGTTCCCTGAGGTCTGTCTTCCATACCATAAATGGCTCTCTTATATGTACTTTGGAACCGGAATTGAGCTCAATTCTCGATACATTCCCCGTGGCCGTCTCTCCCTCCATACGTCCGCGGTCACTGATTTAGCTCCTAGAGCTGAGCTGTCAGCCGGAAATAGACCTTTACTGATTTCATCATTCGAGTTGCGAAAATAGAAAGGCCTTTCTTTTTGGCATTGTTAGGACAACAAAGTCTGAGTCGTGATTGCTCTATTGTTCCCAAGAGGAGATCCACTTGTCCTGAGTATTAGACATCCTCTGAGATGATAGCCTATTCTTCGGCTGCCGACACAAAAGGCGGTGTATAGTAGGGCTATAATCAGAAGTAGGAGGCCGGCCTGCCATAAAATAGGAGATGATCCACATCGATCATTTTATAGCAGAATGTGGGTTACTTGCTGTGCTTGATAAATGTGTCATATAAACTAGTGCAGGCTTGTCATCGATTAATCGATAAGGTGCCGATAAATAATCGTTATCGATGAGCGATAACGATAAATTATCGATGATTCATCGATGATTTCTTGGCATTACGGCTAGGGACTTCGATCAAATAGATGTTAAGAATAAACTAGTATTTTTCCTCTGCAATCCCACTCTTGTGCCAGTTTTTTAAGCACTCTATCCTCTCAATGTTTTCTGCTGATAGTTGAGCCCTTTCCCATGAGATTGTACGACGGGCCCCTAAGAACACTCGTTCTGGTTCATCGCTCATCGCTGGAATCGATAGGATATCAATCGCCATGTATGACAACCTTGGCCAACGCTTCTGCTATTAATCCTGACACCACCATGTCAAAGCACTCGTGCGGATCTCATATGGAGACTCAGAGTTGTAATCTTCATATTCATCTTGACTTGCTGGCCGAGCAAACTTCCCTAGATCATGTGCAATCTGATCAAAATCATCAAGATCTTGAGTATTCCGCTCATACGATTGTACAACCATATAAGTAGGAGCCTTTTGCCGATACTCCTCCTAAAGCTTTTTAACCTTCAGCAGTGCAGGCTTTTGCCAGGTCTTTCTCCAGTTCGCCTAAATATATTTTATTTGATGAGTAGGATGAAGAATGAGAGCCGCAGCATAAAGGGGTGATTCATCTGACTTGCTGTAGTATTTATTAAAGATATCCTACCCATTCTGAATCCGAGCACAGAATTCCCTATCTGATGCAAATTCAATCTGTAATAACTCAGAATGACTCATCATATACTTCCGAATAGTGATTGCTAACACTTACAAGAGCTTTCTCGAAATGCTTAATGATGATATCCATCACAAAAAGCACATTGTCAATTGTAGCTTGATCTTCTTGGGTTTTAAGAGTTGCGTGATTAAAGAGACTCAGGAACTTGCTAGTTCTATGGAGCCTCTCCCAATCTAATGGGGACAGATACTCTATCTCAAGTATGGCAAAGTGCCTTTTCGTATAAGTATCAATAGCACCATCAAACTGAAGCACCACATAGAGTATATGATACCAGCTATTCCACCTGGTACGGTTATCAAGTGGAATCAACCTCCCTGCAAGATCTTTAAACTCTTTGGTTCGGCCAGCTGAACAACGAATGTGCGTCACTATATTATGGAGTTTCCCTAGTGGCCCTATTTTATAAATAGTGACCTGTCTTTGCAGCTCCTCGTCTTCCGTGGCTTCCGTGACTTCTATTTCATCCCATGAACTTAATTGTTCTATTTCCAGTATATTTTGAAATAGAAATGCTTGCACAGCCAAGTTGATAACATGGCCAATACAGAAGATGCGACGATATGTAGGATCCCATTTAATTCCTTCTTCCTGAAGATACTTTCCTAGTACGCGACAAAGCTTATCATTTGCAGTGTGATTATCACAAACAATTGACCCAACCTTTTGCTGGATACCGTAGTCTTTCAGAACTGGAAGAAGAGTGGCGAACTGCTCATCTCCACTATGGTTTCCTACAGTCCGAAGAGCAAGGAGACCCTTGCAAAGCCTTTCTTGACTTTGTTCAACAAAGTGAGCACAGATTCCGAGAAAGAGAATCCGATTTGGCGATGTCCAGATATCAAGTGAAAGATGGATACTTGATGATGCGGATTGGAGTTTTTTCTGTACAATATCCTTTTGAGCTTGCCAGGATTGTTTAATTCTCTTGGTGTTGGTTGCTTCATGCAATCGAGATGTGTCAGATAAGCTGGCTTTCCAATGAAGCCATCAAATGAAGCGATCAATCCGAAACTGTTATGTGTAAGAGAATGGTCTCAGGTTTACCCCATGGCCCATGGGATAGCTTACAAATCAGCTCAGGAGAAGGTCTATATAGACGCGGCTTTGGAACATGATGTACTTAGAAGAAGTGAACACACAGAACTGAAAGAATCACCTATTGAGATTGACTCAAGTGCTTCGTACGTACGTATATGCACCTTAGTGCACCCACACTGATCAGTCTTGGTTGCAAAACTAAGACAGATTGGCAAGGTCTCTGAATTCTATATCGATAGTCACCTGTGGCTACAGAATAGAACCGGATTCCAGGATTTGAGCTTCTTAGTGTAAGAAACCAAGTCCAGTGGAAGAGGGAGATTTGACGCCGTCAACCTGTTGACGAATCGAGTCTTTGCTAAAAGGCTTCCTCATCTCTGAGCGAGATCTAGAGAACCTGTGGCCTGGGATAGGTTGTTATTATAACAACATTCTAGAGCTACCGCCCTATCGTGAGACACGTCGTTGGCACGTACATAAGCCAACAACAAAAACAATCATCGAGAAAAACGTGACACCTTGTTGAAAGTTTCACAATATCAACAAGACCAGTCATGGTTAACGAAAACACCACCCCATCGGATAATGACCAGGATAACACTGGCGAACATCAATACCAAGATTCACCTCCAGGAGATGGAAGAGTCTCCCTAAGCATTTACCAAATAGTACCAGAAAGCAACTTCCCTGACGACAGATGGATGACTGAGATTGGATTCAACAACGAGACCGGACGCAAGTTGGTTAACATGGCGCTATGGGATAAGGAGTTGACCTGGCGACAACGAGATAGCATTATCTACTCGTGCAATAAGTGCCTTGTACTATGCCGCGTGTAATCAATATGTTGATTATGAGATCTTCATGTGGCTTCTTGATTACTTCGGTAACTGGACCCATGATGACTTCAAACGGCTTAGCGTACACATCCAGAAAAAGATCAAGGACATGCTAATGGACCGAGGCATCTTTGTTGATTATATTGGCAGGAAAAAGACGATTGCAAAGGCACTAGATGACTTAGTGCAGATGACTAGGATGCCTGAGTGGCCGCATGAGATTGCTGCCGCCAAAGCCTTTGACTCACGGTCGAAGATGGCCAAGGGTCAGTTCCCTCAACTCGCCACCAAAAATGGCAGTGAAGAAGAGGAACCAGAGGTAATAGCCTCCTTGATTGAGGATGGCAGAGAGGACTACGAAAAGGGTAAGCAACCGTTGGTAGAGACACCAAAGCAGGCATCTCAAGATCATGATCAACAGCCAAAAAATCATGCTCAAAATGACAAGCCTAGTAGACCTCATGACCACTTAAGCTTGCCTGGACCTGCTTATACTTACCCATACCGCTCTAAACTTGAGGACGACTGGCGCAGGCAGACACCGCGCTATACCATAGCACCCCCGGCGCCCGAGATCTCAATGTCATCGGAGAAGTGGGACGATTGGACTATGCTACCACCTAGGGAAGTTGGATGTGAGCATATTGATTCGAAGTCAATGCTCACGTTCGTCAAGATATGGGATAAAAAGCTTACTTACTCTGGAGATCGGTACGACATCTTGGACGACAAAGTACGCGCATTCTTGAGAGCGTGCAAGCTCTCTAGCATCTCGATTAGTCAATGTTGGGAAGTCTTCCCTGAGATGCTATCTGGACGTGCAGGGGCGTACCACATGCACCACATCAAGCCAGGTGCTTCCTTCGCTCAAGCATACAACGCGATAAAAGCATACTTTGACACGCCCAACAACCAGACAGATTACTACCAGGAGTGGACCACAGTCACTCTTGCTGGAGAGCGCCAAAGCAATCCCAGCAAATCGTGGGTTGAGGTCGTAGATCTCATGGTTGATAAACTTCATTTATGCCAGCGAGCATTAGGATCAGCATATGCTGGTGATGAACACCTTATTGCCGCCATCACAAGAGCGTGCCAATCTACACCAGAAATGGGCGAGGCTCTCAGTGAACCAACAAGCAGCTTCCAGACAATTATTTCTAAGCTGCGTGCCAGGGCAGGTGTAGTGCAGCGGAAGGAGTTGGCAAGCCAGTACGTGGTAGATGAAGTCAATAATCCTCAAGTGTTCTATACGGACAGGAAGTTTATGGGACGCACAAATCGTAACAACAGTCCTATATCACGTCAAGAATATCGACGCAAGAACCGTGACGATGCCAAACAACTCAGGAAAAGCAATGGAAGGTGTTTTATTTGTCATCGAGAGAACTGCCACTCATGGAAGCATTCTGAAGAAGAACGCCGCGAAGCGCGAGATCGATATGACCGCTATCGACAGGTAGATGGAAGGAAGAAGCTGTCAACCCGCGCTTACCAGACCTTCTTGCAGGAATATGAAGGCACCTCGTCGGAAGAGGAAGACGACGATTCCACCGAGGAGGAGGTTAAGCAGGACGTGACCACCGCATACTTTATGGTCAACCAACTGCAAGATCGTGCCTTTATCCACCGGATAACAGGCTGCAATAATGGCATAGAGCCGCCTGGATTTCACCTCGATTTTGAAGTTAAATCACCTGACCAATCAGAAGGTGAAAATAACTACCCTGCACCTGCCTCTCAGTTTCTTCTCGACCCCCATGAAAATGAGACTTTTTATGGGATTATGCCAGATACAGGAGCATCGACTGTCTCAACCGTTGGTAAAGGACAACTTGCCGCCTTCCTGAGACTCTATCCCCACACCAAGGTCGATAGATCGCGTGCAGGGGAGTACTCAGTCCGCTTCGGCATGGGCAACCCGATAATCTCGACTGCGGTGATTACCGTGGAATCGCAGTTTGGTGACATAGAATTTAACACCATGGATTCACCAACGCCTTTCCTGTTCTGCCTCAAAGATATGGATCGCCTACGCGTTAAGTTTGACAACCTCACCAACGAGATGATCCAGGGAGACCTTATCGTACCGGTTATTCGCAAGCGAGGCCACCCGTGGTTCTTCCTGGATGAGAAGTATGCACCAGAGGCGTTTCTAACTGAGGTCGAGATGAGGCGGTTACATCGACGGTTTGGTCACCCTGCAGTTGATAGGCTGCACAAGGTCTTAAAGCGTGCAGGCCATCTTGACGTGGATTATAAGGTGCTTGCGCAGATTGAAGAATTCTGCCACCATTGCCAAATGAACCGGCAAGCACCCAAACGGTTCAAATTCACGTTGCATGACGACTGCGAGTACAACTACGAGATCGTTGTTGATGTTATGTATCTTGATGGCAAGCCAGTACTGCACATCGTTGACTGGGCAACCTCATTCCAAGCAGCGAAATTCTTGAAGTCTCTGTCAACTAAGGACACCTGGGAAGCACTCCGGGCAGCGTGGATTGACACATATCTTGGTCCCCCTGATGTCATATCCCACGACGCAGGAACGAATTTTGCTGCAGTAGAATTTAGAACTGAGGCCAAGATGATGGGAATCCAATGCCACCAGGTGCCAGTCGAGGCTCACAATGCTATTGGCAAGGTCGAACGGTACCACACACCACTGCGCCGCGCTTATAATATCATATTGTCGGAACTCGGTGCAAGCGTCGACAAGGAGATCATACTTCAGATGGCGGTTAAGGCTGTCAATGACACAGTAGGACCAGATGGATTAGTACCAACCGTACTAGTCTTTGGTGCCTATCCTCGCATGACTTACGACTCGCCACCATCAGCATTGACTGCAAAGCGCGCCCAGGCCATGAGGAAGGCCATGATCGACTTAAGGAACGCCATGGCCACGCGTAAAGTCAATGACGCTCTCAAGGCCAGGAACGGCCCGATTGTCACGGAAACGCTCAACCTGGCACCAGGAACCGACGTGCAGGTCTGGCGAGAAGGTAAAGGATGGACTGGCCCGCACAAAGTTATCTCAGTTAACGATTACAATGTGATTGTGGACCTACCCAGCGGTGTCACTGATTTCCGTGCAACTTCAGTACGACGTTACCAGCGAGACGAGATCGAGTCGTCTCCGACTCGGCGCCTACTAGGCACTGATCTTCCTCCTCAAAAGGAGGAAGAAGGTAGAAAAATCGACGGCCTACTGGCGGGCCGGAAAAGTGGCCCAGCATTTGCTCGGGGATCCTCCTCATGCGACGCTGCTGCCGGCGCGCTGCAAGAAGTGGAATCAGGAGAGCCTGCCGGCGCGGCAAATCCGAATCGCCGCCTGAGGACGAGAGGGATTCATGTTCCTGACGCACCAGTAATGCCGCCAGCGCCACGCCGCCGAGGACGACCTCCAGGTTCGAAGAACAAACCAAAGACCTATACCAATGAGGTCGAGGTGTTCCTATCTAGGAAGGAAAAAGACGACCTAGAACTAGCAGTCAAGCTGCGCCGAGAAGGGAAGATAACCGCGGACGGCGCGCCATTTGAGCTCTCTGCAATGGCTGAGATCGATGGTCTCATTGCGAGTGGCACTTTCAAGATAATGCACCATGATGATTTGGATCTCAGAGGCGTACGAATCTTCAACTCCCGGTTGGTCAATGAGATAAAAGGCAAGAACGAGAAACCGTACGAGAAGTCACGCCTCGTCATACAGGGTTATAACGACGCGGGCAAAACTGGCATACTGACACAAGCGCCGACGATTCAGCGCGCCAGCCAGCGCCTTGTCGTGTCACTCATCGCTACGCTGATTCTCATGGGCATGGTCGTCGATCTGCGTGATATTACCCAGGCGTACACACAGTCAAAAAGTAAGCTACAACGCCTGATTGTTGCCAACCTGCCAGCCGAGATGAGAGATAAATACCCACCGGATTCGCTACTCCTTGTGGAAGGTGCCTTGTACGGGATCCCTGAAGCCGGTGTACACTGGTTTGACACATATCAATCCCATCACAAGGACCGGCTGGGTATGGAGACATCCACGTACGACCCGTGCCTCCTCATGACGACTAAAGGGAAGGAGAACTTTGGCCTTGTCGGTATGCAGACGGACGATACCCTGCTTGTCTCAACAGAAAGTTTTGCCGGAGAGGAACAAGTGGCTTTACAAGAAGCTGGCTTCAAGGCGAAGCCTAAGACACGCCTATCCCAACAAGTGCCAATAGAATTCAATGGCGCTAGAATCACTTTGCAAGATGAAAAGGTCTATTTCCGCCAAAAGGGCCAAGCCGCAAAGATAAAGCCAGTGGGCAAGGAAGACCGCGCACAAAAGTACGTGGAACAACGCGCGCGCGGTGCGTACTTAGCTTCAATCTGCCAACCTGAAGCGGCGTACGACTTGGCAGTGGCCGCTCAGCTGCAGGAGAAAGACCGATCTGAGGCAGATTATGACGCGTTGAATAAACGTCTCATATGGCAAGCCGAGAACCCAGATAGAGGTCTCTGCTTCGTTCCGATTGATTTGACCAAGGCCAAGATCATGATATTTACCGACGGTTCCTTCGCCAACAACCGGGACTTGACCTCCCAAATTGGCTTCCTCATTGCCATGGTAAATGAGGATTTTTCCGAATCAGGCCAATTCACGATAACCGGCAATATCTTGCACTGGGCTTCGTCTAAGTGCAAGCGGATTACACGTAGTGTACTGGCCTCCGAGATTTATGGCCTCACTACTGGCTTCGACCAAGGTTTTACCCTGGCCAGTACAGTCAACATGATTACCAAGAGGCTCGGCCAGCCTGAGATGCCGGTAGTAGTCTGCACAGATTCCTACTCGCTATATGAGTGCCTCACGAAGCTTGGAACGACCAAAGAAAAGCGCTTAATGATCGATCTCATGGCGCTTCGCCAGTCATATGAGCGACATGAGATTGACGAGATCCGATGGATCCACGGTGACGACAACCCTGCAGATGCCTTTACAAAGTCAAACCCGAACAAGGCCCTGCGGGACTTCGTTGGATCCAACAAGGTGACGATCCGGGTGGAAGGCTTCGTTGAGAGGACCAGGATTGATTAGGAGTCGACTAGGAGCCGAATAGGTGGCATATGGGAGGTAGTGCTGACTTACGATAGCGGTTCGCTTGTTGATCGTTTTGTCATGTTTTACTATGGGTTTTTCACAGGTTTCTGGATCTCGATTGCAAATCGATTTATAAAAGAGATCCAGTGTTGGTTGCTTCATGCAATCGAGATGTGTCAGATAAGCTGGCTTTCCAATGAAGCCATCAAATGAAGCGATCAATCCGAAACTGTTATGTGTAAGAGAATGGTCTCAGGTTTACCCCATGGCCCATGGGATAGCTTACAAATCAGCTCAGGAGAAGGTCTATATAGACGCGGCTTTGGAACATGATGTACTTAGAAGAAGTGAACACACAGAACTGAAAGAATCACCTATTGAGATTGACTCAAGTGCTTCGTACGTACGTATATGCACCTTAGTGCACCCACACTTGGGAACTGAGGTATGCGCAGTGATAATATAGGCCTCTGATTCTGGATTTAGTACTCGACAAAAAGCATGAAATTCAGGCCATTCAACGAGGGAGAATGGAATATTTTGTAAAACAATTAATACGACCAACGCCTCATCGATAACATCCTGGTTCAAGATCCTTTGGAAAACCTTTGTATCGATGTTTTGCATTTGACCCAAGGACTGTGCTTTAATATACAGCTGCTGAAATTGGTGTAATACAGTTTGTTGAAGTGCGCTTGGAGCAGGTTGGATAGAGATCTGATGTTTTGATTTTAGATGGTTTCACATATTTATAGTGACTGAAGTACTATATGGTAAATCTGTACAATGAATACAGTACTTGATGGGAGCTTTTTTATGGAACTGCACTTCATCTTCACGTGCTGGTCGAGTATGGGCCCATGTCATTGAGCCTGTTGAAGTTTTCCCTCGATTTGAGTTGGAATTGGACTCAGTTTCAACGGAATCGAGTGTAGGTACATAGAAAAGACTGGATGAGTCCGTATCTGAATCCATTTTTGAGTAAGATGGTTACATTTCATTGAGGATTACAGAAGAGTCGTATGAACATGAAACTTCTCAAGATTATCTACAGGCGGTGAGTAGGCGGTGAGAATTCTGCCGATTATCGATGACAAGCCTGAACTAGTGTTTAGCGGATATGTTAGGCCCTAACTTATTTAAGATGGTCTTTACCTAGGTGAGCTCTACAAAAGTAGACACAAATAAGTTATCTTATACAACTACACCTACATAGTCAATGAGAATGGAATATTACACAGCCGACCAGCCACCATATCCATATCAAGTTCTACGCCAACAGGTGCAGACACAACAACCACCACAGCCACTACAACCACCACAACCGCCACAACAATCTCAAGATCCTTTTCAGCAAGCCCACCCACAACAATTAGGGGAAACGACGTATCAGTATCGAGTATTGCCACGAAAGAAAGAAAGAGCAAAGCTGGTGAGCATCATGATCTTCTTCTTTAAAGACGTGCCTCCACTCTAACTAGATTTGGGGAATAGGCCTGCAACCGTTGCCGTGATCATCATATACTATGTGATGAAGCCCGTCCATCCTGTGGCTCCTGCAGGCAGAAAGGAAGCCATTGCAAATACCGCGATCCCAATAAACCTTCTGAAAAAGGTCGCCTGCCACGGTGAGCCTTGCCTTCTGTTCTGTTGGAATGACATATCGACAAAGCGTATTGACAAAGTGCAGCCAGGTCAGAGAAATTCTAGAGACGCTAGAAGCAAATGACGCGAAATGGAACAAACGATACTCTAAACTGAAGCAGTGGATGATTGATTTTCAATCTCTAGTAATATTTGGCATACAGAAGTTAGAATCAAATACAGTCGATGGAGCAACAAGAACAACTGAAAGTGATGGAGACTTGTCGATTCCAGTAGAGCATTGTACAGCTGCCCAGAACTTATTATCATGGTCCTCTATTCAACGGTTACTGAGACAACCGGACTTTGATATTGATTATGTGATGGGACTTGAGGAGGGCCGCGGCGTTATCCGAATCTATGGCCATGGCGAAGGAAAGGATGATGGCGGCTCCCACTGGGGTGATGGCCTCCCCATATCCCCACCCACCAACGAAGTGATGGAGAGAAGAGTGGATGGGATTGATAAATATGGAGCGCTGGACACGTGTCATAACACCTTGTGGCGTCTGTATCTCAGCTTCGAGAAGAATATCTATCCTTACATCCAATTCTTGACAAATTTGCTCTGGAGCAAAAAATCATGAATTTCAGCAATCAGTACTCAAACTCAAACCGCCGAATCGATCGTTCCATTGATAACGCAGTTATTCTCCTAGTTGTTGCTTTGGGTGCCATCTGTGAATGCAAAGATCGGATCCCACCTCTAGCAACGGTTGAGGATGCCGCACGGAACGTGCATGTAATTCCAGGCTTAGCTTATTACGCACACGCGACAGATATTTTGGGTAATATGCAGGGAGGGACCAGCCTTTCAAATGTACAAGCTGCTCTTCTTGCGGGGTTGTATATGGGTCAGTTGGTACATCCGTTCCAGAGTCATGGCTGGATATCTCAGGCAGCTACAGCATGCCAGACCTTGGTTCATCGGTGAGCCGCAATCTATAAAACCTTAATATGTTGCCTAACTTGCATGTCCAGGAGAAATTACAGTATTTTGCAAGATAGCCGAATGAAAGACCTTTGTAGCGCTGCCTATTGGGCCTGTCTGCAACATGAAAGGTGGGAGATGGTCTACAGCAATTGTTGAGCAACTACTAATACGCATTTAGCGATATACTTGCCGAGCTAGACCTTCCTCCTAGTGGGATATCCCGAGCTGAAGATCGAATTGACCTCCCCAAAGGCCTTTATTACGAGGGGGATACTCGTATAATGCTGTTCTATTCAGCACAGATCCATCTGCGCAAGGTCTTGAACCAAGTCCATACTAATCTTTACCAGACATCTAACTGTAAGAAATTGTTGACGCCTCATAAGTCATTACTCGTCTAACACTTAATTATAAATCGCATCCAACCCGATAATACGGAGCCATACGGCCTAGGATTTCCACTCAGTGTACTTCAAGTACTTGGAAATAGCCTCGATCTATGGCGGAAAAATCTGCCCTGTGAAATGCAATGGAATGATAACGATGAACCCTCGTCAGATATTAATACAGCTCAACTGCGGGCTAAATACTATGGAGCGCGATACATTATCTACCGTCCTTTACTACGTTATGCGCTAGATTTAGGACAAACTTTAAAAAGTATTGACACTACGGTTTCTTGGGGGGTTCTTCTACAAATAGTTCAAAACGCCTGTGAAATATGCATCAGTGCAGCCATAAGAAGCACGCGAGTATTTCATAATATTCAAGAGAGACCAATCATCACTAACATTTTTGGTACCGCTCATGCGTATGTTTGACCCGAGTTTCTGATGGTGATTTCTGAATGTTGACTTGTATTTAGACAATTTGGCAATATACTTGTCTTATCAACGACATATGCGTCTTATATGCGCCATCTAGTAGAGCGTAGTGAGCTAGAAAGCCTGCTTAAACGGACCGTCGCATTTTTGGAGGATTACAAGCATCTCTCACCAATGCTGTCAGCCGATGCGGAGATCCTTAACAAAATCTACCCTAGGATATTTTGTGAATAATCCACAAAAATACAGAGCAGTTTTTCAATCTCAAAATATGCAGGGCCAATAGCTATGGTACATAGCTAGCGTTGTAATCCTTTGGCCTAGGCATCAATCGAATCTTTACACAGAACGGTGAATACCTATGGTACCGGTACCTAGAGTTTGCATATAGTGAGTGTATAGACCAGGTTTATGTATGGATTTCTAGTAGCTCCCTAGAGGTGACCCTTCGTTCTTGTAGCGATTCTTCACTTAGGTAGTGTACTACGGGGAAGCCGAAATACTCGATGTCGTGCGGGATATAGATGGCGGATAGATTGTACTTCATGAAATCAATCTTCATTTTTGAAATACCTATCTCAAATAAACTTTCGGAAATTATTGATATCACCGACAGATGCCAAACTCCCAATATTCAGACTCAGTTTTGCTCCAGACTAAGTGCCAAGAATGTGACATAACATTTCTCCACGTCGGTGTTCTTGAAACACAGACTAGTCAATAATTGAAAAGCCGGACGAGGCTAGAGGTTATCTAGTCACCTCAAGCTACCTACACTTCAGCAAATAAGGAGTCATCCTCTTATCAGGGCTCAATATAGCCCTCAAAGTTTACCCCTCATGATAGCTTATAAAAGACCCCGCTAAAAGTGTCTATAAAGGACCCGGCATTGAACCTGATGTATTAGACAGACGGAACTCAATAAATACAATCTTACTAGCCACTTCTTTTCTTTTCAGTAAAACACTCTTCAGGATTGGCCTGGAATAAACCAACTAATCCGACACTAGCTCGGGGTCAGACACGTGGGAAAAAAAGGAAAAACAATAATAACTAATAATGGAGCGAGAAGCAGCGAACAAGTGATTGGTTCACAAAGGGTAAGTAAATCACCGGAATCCCCTCTTATGGGTACACCAATCCCAAGGAGATCATTCAAATTTCATAATTCATACCTATCAGCGCAAGCTAGAATTAGAACATAGTGTTCATATCCTGTTCCTAGCAGCTACCTGATTGGGAAGAGTTGGAGCGGCTTGTGTAGCACGACATTGCTGTTCCTTAGTCTCCTTATTTTTCCTGGGGTTGTTGGCATCAACAATTATGGCGGCGTTCTTCTGATACTTGTACACGGTCCAGTCAAAGACGTAATCGTCTTGGAAGGATTCACGCACGAACAAGTCGCGGAAGATCTTGCGGAGGTAGGAGTAGTCAGGCTTGTCGTCGAACCCGAGGGAGCGGGCGTAGTACAAGTAGATGACGAATTCGTTGGGGAAGCCACGGCAAAGGACCTCAATGGGGGTGGTCTTCTTCTTCTCCATTATCTTTTTGTACTTTTGCTTCTTAGTAGTAGCCTTCAGTCCCTGCCAAGGGAGGGAGCCACGGCAGAAGTAAAGCATCATATAACCTAGAGACTCCATGTCATCACGACGAGACTGCTCGACACCCATGTGTGTGTTGATACTGGCGAAACGAGCAGTACCGGTCAAGTTCTTGTTCTCACTGTAAGAGATGTGGGAGTGAGTCCTGGGGTCACGGTATAGCTTAGCTAAACCAAAATCAATGACATTGACCTGGTTGCCGCACTTTCCAATACCAGTAAGGAAGTTTTCGGGCTTGATGTCACGGTGAATGAAGGACTTGGAGTGAATATATTCGATACGAGAAATGAGCCGATCGGCAAGAAGCAGAACAGTCTTCAACGAGAACTTGCGGTTGCAAAAGTTGAATAGATCCTCCAAGCTAGGACCAAGGAGATCGATGACCATAACGTCGTAGCCATATTCGGTACCAAACCAATGCACGAAGGGGATACCAACACCACCGACCAGATGCTTGTAAACGTGAGCTTCATGTTTGAGCCTGGGGTGTTTTGCTTTGACGCTTTCAAGCTTGATAGCAACTTCTTCTCCTGAAATGATGTTGAAACCTAGTGCCTGATTAGCTTTCAACGTCCTTGCATAGTTGAGGCAAGTCATTCTACCAATATAAATGTCACCAAAACTACCACTTCCAATCTTGCTTTCAACGCGATATTTATTACCGACAAGCCAATCCATGGTCGTCATCTTGAGTCTGAGGATGTTCTACTTGCAGGTATAGTGTCAATCGAAGACCGGACAAACAGCCGCAGAAAATCCACTACTGGCCTTGACCTTTTTTTGACAGCGAACACCTGAAGACATTAGTAAATCAGTTGATCCGATGGTATCGAAGCTTACAGAGTAATTAAGTCTTATCCATATGATGTGATTCCTGGCATTGTACACGGACTACTTACCACGAGGCGGAGGGTCCTATAAGATGCAGAGGAAATTTGACTGACGGAAAAAAAGAGTTCGACTCAGGCTTCCCAAGCAAGGGACTTGCACAATATTCTGTGTATATCTTATAAGGAACGAATGTGTTGAGGCAATTCAATTCTACGAGGACAAAACAGGAGGGAGTGCTCTGCTTAAAAACCTAAGTATCCGGCCATATTCTAGTGCCTTACTGTCTTATCCACACGTTCTGCTTCCATCTACACCTTTCCTCTAGGATTAGTCATGAACAGGGTGAAAACCCCTTAGTGCTAGGATGCATACATGCAATGTGATCAGAGCGATCCGCAGCACACTGTAGGGCGCTAGGCAGCAAGACCAAGGGTGATTTTGCCCGGCCCACATTTTCGTAGGGTAATTTCTAGTGTTTTTCATTTCTGAATAACGCTCTATAGAGAAGGAGTAATGGCCTTGAATATTACAGCACCAGTGAAGCGCTAACGCATATGTGGAAACTGCCTAGATGGTAGCAAGGCTCGGATTTCATCAGTACAAATGGGCTTTCCCATCTGAGCTACTTTCAAAGAATATGAATATTTCCGGAAAGGACAGAGCAGTACGGAGTAGAGCTGGCCTAGATTCCAACAGAAGGACCCCAGAACGCAGGCACTTGGTGTTTTATTGGTGGATATATGCTTGCATCAACTAAGGGTGAAACTCACCCAGTCCAAACTTAAACCAGTGGATAGGCTCAACCTAAAGAAGTGGTTAGGCCCCATAAGTTTTACGGTGAATGCAGCTTCGGATCCTATATTTTTATTATTGAATGTCAGGACCTTACCATGAGATGGGGAAGAGTACAAGAGCATCATTGACCGGGATTGCATCGACTAAGGGTGAAATTCACCCAGTCCCTACCTAAATCAGCAGAGAGGCTTAACCTAAAGAAGTTAGAGATAGCGTCACAGTGGTCAGGACCCACACGACAAGCCGGTATGCTGAATGCAGCCTTCCCCTAATATGTATCATAGCTTGTCCGGCTGCTGAATAGTCTTCGATGCGGCTATGCGTTGTTAATGGATCTTATACTATTATAATTGAATTTTACCATTGACTGGGATATTCACCCACACTGCACAGACTAGTGCATCCAATCAACGTAGTCGCCGTACTATCTATTGAGTCTCAGGCAGACTTGCTAGCGATATAAGATATGCTGCGCTCCCTCGGCCTGTAAATAGTTATTATCTAGGACGTCATCTCAGTCTTTTATGTGTGCATTTTGATCAGAATTTAAGTTATGACTCCTAATAGCATCAGTTCGCTGGGGTGAGATCACTTTTAAAATTAGAATATTCCTGGAACTAAACTAATTTATGGCGACAATACCAGTCCCGTTACTGAGTCTTCCAATACTCTATCAAATTGTGACATTTCTGCCAATTCGCAACTGCCAAATTATGATGGCGGTAAACCATCGAACCCTCAAACAGACTCCAAGCTTTCTCAGCTAGATACCCAAGTGTCTAAAGCCTATTGCATATTTCTTCAGCCCGAGACACATCCAATGACTGAAGAACAACTAGTCCATGAAGTGGAAGCTATCTATGCAGGTCTAGTGATCGTCGAAATTGGATGTATTCGTACTGTCAAGAAACTATACAATGAACCAGAAGAACTCACTGTGCTGCAATGGCAGGACCTGACTGCGGAGCACCGTGTGCTGCTCCATCAGCATTTTGATTTCTTTCTGGCTTCAAGTCATCCGGTTGCAAACAAGTCATTAAAAACACTGGCCAATACCTACTCCATGCCAACAAGATTGTGGCGACATGGTATTCATTCGTTCTTGGAACTCTTGCGAAAGAAATTGCCCTCGTCACTTGGCCATATGCATGAATTTATTAACATAGCATATAAAAACATTACTTCACTATTGGAGAGCGTCCCTGATTATAAAGAAACATGGATTGAATGTCTCGGAGATCTGGCACGCTACCGGATGGCCATAGAAGAGAAGGACATGGGCCAGCGAGAATTATATACCAGGATTGCTAGGTACTGGTATACCAAGGCTGCCGATCTCAATCCCGATGTTGGAAGGGTTCAGCATCATTTAGCAGTACTCGCACGACCAAATCTATTGCAGCAGTTGTTTTACTACACTAAGGCTCTGACCAGCGTTCAGCCTTTTACTGAAGCGCGGAAAAGCATCTTGTTGCTTTTCGGGCCTCTCCTAGATCCCGCAAAAGCCGCAACAAAATACTCCGAACACTATCCGCGAGCTTTGACTGTTTTTGTGGAAGCACATGGTGTTTTATTCACGAGAAATGATGCTTTTACCTTTCTGAGACTGGCTGAGAAATTCTTATCAGAACTTGATAAACACGCTAGGCTCGTGGGTCCGTTGTTTAGAGAACAAGGGGTATACATAACAGCTTCTAACTACGCTGCGATCTTTGATTATGGCCATGACGATGCAAAGATCCCATCCATGTTCAACCAGGATGGACTCATTCAGACAGGAACATTCGAGATACTGGAGCAAGCATGCAAATACCGGCAAAACCCTGCTTGTGTCCAGGTTGGAATCGAGCATCGAGTTGATGGAATAAGTTCCAGCGAGCAGGTAGCCTCCATGGCGTCTCATTTTGCATTCGCCACTCTCAATGTTCTACTCGATCGTTCGGAGGATAGGAATATATTGCCAAGTGTGCACGTCTCTCTGGCTTTTCTATGGTGTATGGCAATGGTACCGGAGAGCATGACCCGAATTCAAGCGGACGTGCCCTGGGAACGGCTTGCAACGTATCTAAATACGCTGATCAACCCGGATACTGATATGGCTGGAATTGAGAATGGAGAGTTCCCGGCACAGGAATCAGGGTTACGGCAACTACCGGAGGATTTCCTGATTCATGGTCTTTCCTGGAGTAGAATGTACTATCCACTAGACTTCTTCTCTGACATGGCCGAGGACGATGAGCGGTCGATCGAACTTCCATCTGTAATGGTTCCACGGACAAAACGATGTTTGTGGTTGGCAAGTAAGATAGCAAAGGTAAACTCCCCGATCCCACCCCTCCCTTTATGTTTAATACGACCTTCTTTCTAATTATCTATCCAGTTCAACTGCTGGCTAGTCTATAACGCCAAGGACTGCAGGTTTTGCGCAACTAAATTTGCACACGACCTCGCCACGCTATCACAGAAGTATCAAATTATTAGACGTACAGATAGTATCATCTCTTCAAGCATTTAAGGTTGATAATTTTATTGGTTCATTTAATATGACAATTTTATTCTCTGTTTTGGTCTAGCGTTATGAGCTATCCATAGTTTGCATTCTATATTCGAATGTCTCCGCATTTCTTTCCATTACTTATGAGACATCTCCTCTCCCCCATAAATAGTTTTACCCTAGCAGGCTAACCCAACATTCAAATTCCAAGAACACAATAGCGACCATATACGACTCAAGCCACGAGTAACGTAATCAGACACCCGTAGTTTGTACAACCTTAAGAAGCTGAATTATCATCATACTCTGCCAACTTTTCTCGCGCAGATTGTGATGCTATATCTGTCAGTCGTCAACCGCAATGGACGGGAAGTCCACTCACAATGGCCATTCAACACGCGCCTCATCTTGTCTCAGTTCCTTGATTGCATTTGCAATATCCAAATGGGCTTGCGCGAACGAAACCTCTTGAAGAGTCGGCAAGCGAAGGCTGATCTGACGGAATCTAGCTTCAAATATGTCTCCAATATTATCTTGCAAGAGACGAGATAATTTAGCTACAAGTTCAATGGTGAACCCAGCCTTCTCTAGCTCCCAACTCCATTTTTTTAGATTGATGTTCTGCAGGTCGATCCCCAGCGATGAAGCCATACCAGCTACCCTGTACACCAATTTTGAGAACGCTGGTAGCTTCGTCGGGTCGAGATCATGGATATAGGGGATGAGCAATGCTTCCGATATCTCGACACTCCCCCCCGGGTTAAGAGACCTGGTGGTGTTAGCATTTTCTATGCCAGAAATAAAACAACTCACCTGTAGCATTTCATTGCAAATTGAGAAAAGTCTCGGATACAAAGCATCATGTCCCTCACGTGAATAAAATCGGATCCGGTTGGCAGCGAAGCATTACAATCATGGTAATAAAATTGGATGGAGTCTACGTCGTTATCAGGTAACGACATCGAAACATCAAAACACTCCAGCTGATAGTCTGTTAGCTATTAGGATTTACTGAACCATAGAGGTAACCACCTTAACTTTAGGTCTCATTTTTGCTTAAATCAACCGTCAGTCTATGATATTCACTATAATTATACTTACAGTTCATACCTAGCTGCTTTGCCCAGTGACCGCTGCCACAGCCAACATCGAGAATACGAGATCCATCTCTGATAACTGTGAAGGAAAATTCCTCTTGTTTCACATCCCACCATAACTGGTTCAGCCTTTCTGCAATCCGGTCATTCGATAGTCTCACTTGGGTAATGGAATATACCTTGCAGTTCCCGCTCGAGCTGCAGAAATTGACTATCAGCGCAATTGAAGTTCTGAACAAGCGTCTGCTACGTACCTCGTCATCTGGGAAGAGATTATCTTTTAATGTTGTACAAGCACCCATCCAACTCGAATAGGAGCGACCATTTTCCTCCAGGCATAAGAAGCCGTGGTGACCATCTCCGTCAATCTTGTATGTCTGTTGTGGCTTTTCAACGCTGCGCGAGCCAGGAATGGCAGAGATATTATACAATTGCATCCATTCTTGTGTCGATGGCATGTTTGCAGGTATTCGCGAGATTGGCAGTAGAAATAATAGCAATTAACACTGGAAACGATGTGAGTTACTTCGAATTTAGCATCCTCCAAAGGACTGGCTTTATAGTATAGGCCAATGCATACGTGTCGAATCCTACGGCACCTACCCAGCCGTAACCAGGGTAAGGTCGAGTCAAAAGGATGTTCTCGATGGAGGTTCTGACTAGCCGGGTTTAATCACGGGTACTAAATAAACCTGAACTACAGGACAAAGGAAAAGACTGCTAATGCTAGACGCTAGGCCAGAGGTTATCGCCAGATACAGCCACTTTTGCGCAAATGCTCACGTAGCAGCAAATAATATAATAGCTATCGTTATCATATCATATCCCGCCAATCAGACCGATGTGCATCTCCAGAACCTTAGAAATATCACATCTCACTCTTTGTTGTGACCAGATCCAGAGATACTATCCTGCGGGTTTCGCGGACCGGCCTGGTACCTAGGTATATATCTGCTGTTAGGCCGTGATGGGTGAATAGTTTGGATACTACATAATATTATAATACCATTACAATGAGCATACCAGCACTTGCTGTTTGCGGAAAAAATGCCGTGCTTTTTGATGGTACTGTACAGACTAATTTAGGGTTCCAAGGTTCAAGTCACACTTTTAGGGAGACTCTGGTACTCCGGTACTCCGTAAACAAAGAACGCAGTTGGACTGCAAAAATTTAATCACAACGTTGGAAGCCCTAAAGTGTGTAATTGGTTATGCTACATTGTAGGTCACAAGACGGCGCCCCTCCATATATGTGTAGATGTCAAATAACAAAGCCAACCACAATACGGCTAGGAGGTTGGAGAATCATTTGCGAGGCTCGAATACCTGAATTAGCGAAGGCTTGGATCCATCAATGTACTATGATGGTTCTAGAATGTGGTCTCTGCCACGGAACCGGACATTGGTCTAGCCTCGGGGACCGATGCAATATGGGGGCTCTACAAGACTACAATTGTTGGACTGCTTAGCCTCGCTACTTCGCTACGAGAAGCCAATCCACAGCTTCTTCCGTCCTGATGGGTTTCTTCGTACTTCGTCCGGATCGAGTCGTAGCCCAAATTCACGGACATGATATAGCCAATCACCGAAATTCTGTAGTTTATTAAATGATGGCTTTTCCAATACATAATACCGTAAGCCAATGGTATGCTTCGGGTATTTCGAGTAGGCTGGGTCATAGCCACTGATGTCAGGACGGCAAAGCGGAACATCCGGTCAGGCTCCTACATTGACTCATGGACTCTGTAAAGATCAGCGTTCCTTCACATTGCCAGACTTCAAAGTCAATGAGAGTCAATATATGAACTAAGCTACGGAACAGAGGATGGATCAACCTCAAAAGTTTTTACCTCGGATTTTAGTCACATGAAGTTAGGAGGTGCTTATAGAACCAGAGAGCATAATATATTCATCGGGTTGTTAGTATTGACTATTTGCGGAAAGAGGTCTATTATTGATTAGAAATAGTGGAACCAACCGTCGGGGCATGAATCTGTTGACTTTGCTCAGGAGGCTTTCGATGAGAAATTTTCTTGTACGAGAAGAACGGGTGTGTTGGATGGCCTGAGAAAATGGTGGTAAGGAAAAATACCCAATTTTATAGTAGTCTTAAGGACAATAAATTAGAATTAGACCCTTAAGCCCAAAAAAAGAAAAAATAAGGATCATTTCTAGGTTTGACAATCTGATTGGCTTATAAAGTATATTCTGCCTCCATCATCCAATAAGGGAGACGGTTCACTTACCAGACTCGCATGCGGTAGCTGGCTGATAGGGCAAAGTTGTCATTTGGATCTGGTTGCTGCAGACCCGTAAGAGTCTAGCCAGTGTCAAGTATGTCATGTTCTTATGCTTAACTTATATTTGCTAGCCCCTACCACGCTGTTTCAGCCACTGCAACATTCAACACAAACAACGGGCATATTCGCAAAGGCGCGAGTACGAGTACGCCCGTACCCACATTTCTCGCTTCTATTTGGAGCCCTCTGCCATCTAGGTCTTCCTCACTCCCCCCACAGGCCGCGTTAACACATTCGACGAAATATCTAGCTCTAAGGGCATATTAGGACACCCATACTAGGATCAAAGTCAAGATAAAAGAAGCAAGAAATCGTGCCCTCTTTCTCAATCATATCTGATTCCAAGGTTGACTTCCGAAAAATGATTCTACTGCTTCGTCCACTTGTCGAGATAGGAAGCCGGCTAGCAAGCCTTTAAGCAAAGCCGCTATTGGTTTGGAATCGGTACCAGAACCATAGCCCCATGTAGAATTACATCTTAATCGTGTATCGAAGCGGGCATCTCAAGAAGGCGAGGAGCTCCCTTCCGCCATAGCCAGATACTTGGCAACAATTGTTAAGTCCGCTCTTCTCATAAACCGCGTTCTCCAGCCAAATAACGAACAAATTAGCGGATCAAATCCTCATACAGTATCTAAGTGCTTCAGCACATACTCGTTCATATTTATTCTCCAATTCTATCTCTGATGTGCGATTGTTGAAAGTTTCTTCATAGTCCCCCAATGACTTCACATCCGCTATGTTCGTGGCCGCGGCCAAGACAGTATTAAGATTCGATGTAATTTAATAAATTACACTTTGACCAACTATTGTTACAAAAAGCAAGCTCGCAGAGCCTGTTGGTTTTGTAGGTAAGTAGTTTTCAAGGTCAACTAGGGCAATTTGTGGTGTTTCAAGGTGGTATTGAAACGCGAGGATACAGAGCTGTAAAGGCTACTTCGGAACATGGAGCCATGAGTTAAGGGGAGCCGTTCTTCGGTTGTTACAAAACGGGTCACGCCACAGATGGTCATTTTCAACAATGTCTGAGGAGGCACAACCAACAGCTTGGATTCATGCTCCTGATATGTACGAGCACCGTGCTCAGCAGGTTTCTAGCGGTCCAGGATATACCTATCAAACTTAAAGATTATGTCTAGCTGCTCCCTGAGGGTGAAAGAGCCTCACTAAAAATTTCAACGTCGTCCATGGTTGTCCTTACACCATTCGATATGTGCTTGAGAATCTGTATATTGTCACATTATTTAATATTGATGCAAAGTGTTGAGAAGAAAACTGGTATTGTTTGTCCTTTCAAGTGTAGAGTTGGTAATCAAAGCTAGGTAAGAGGGATATAAGGGAATTTTTGATTCATGTAGCAACTCTACAGCTACAGGTCTAGAAGGCACCTTTAGGCATATATCTGGGCACCTAGATTTCAGCCCAATATTTACCCCTCCTGATAGCTCACAAATCACCCCGCCAAAGGTGTCTATAAAGGACCCGGCTTTAAAGACTTGAAAGACAGACACAGAACTCAAGACATACAATCTTGCTAGTCACTTCTTTTCTTTGATCCTAGAAAAACACTCTTCAGGATTGGCCTGGAATAAACCGACCAATCCGACAAGAAGAGGCCCACTTGAGTTTGCCAAGCGTTAATTCATGAAAATGCCAAGAAAAGGGAAACTGACCTATTTTATACATTTGAGAAATTCGAGTGTGGCATATAATATAATTGTTGGTTTATTGGTGACCTCACTCAGTCAAGATAGGCAATGTATGTATAGTTTGGCCGCAACGGGTCACCTGTCGTTGAGGTCTTACGCGCAAAGCGTATGACCACAACGTCAGAGAGGGCCAAATGACCCGGGCCAAACTAGGATGGTGGAGGGGATGGTGGTGGAACTGACAGAGACAGAGGGGCTGGCGAGCCGGTCTGAAACTGGTGGTTGAGCTTGTATAGAACCGATGCGTTCGTCGTAAAATATACCCTAAATGCCTCTGAGGTCCATCTGCCAAGGGCCTGGATCTGGTCGTCTAAAATCTCGCTGTTGTGGGCATGTTGTGCGGTACCTTTTCGAAAACTGTGGCCTGAGTAGCTATCCGTTCGCAGTCCAAGTGTTTTCAGTCTATTCGATAACGTAGAGAGGAAGTTGTTATGAGTAAATGGCCTTCTGTGGAAGGAGAACAATGGTGCGTCAAGTCCTCTAGGGTCAAGAAAAAACAGCTTTTGAAGGGCGTCGACTGGGCATGCTCCATCTCCTGTTTTTGCAAGGATAATCTGTACTCCTTTATGACGGCGATCCGTCTTGCTTCGCTTGAGCGTGAGTTGTACATGATCTAATGTGGGAGAGAATCTGATGTCTGAACGTGTTAGCTTTGTCGACATGAAGATAGAGGACGCGTCGAGGTCTTCTTTTTTATAGGTGAATTCTCCGATACGGAGGAATCCAGCAAATGCCACTCGACAGGCGGTTGCGAAGTTCAGGTCGTCTATGAGATCTGCAGTCATCTCTGAGGGCTGCGACGGAAGTGCAATTAGGCCAGATGATAGTTTCGTAATGGCCTCACGGGAAATGGGCTTTCTAACTCGTACTTTGGTTGTTGGGGTGAGCCTTCTTGCTCCGTCTATAAGGTGCCTGAAGTGTTTGTTATCAAAAAGCTTGTCGTCGAGGAAATTATCAATATGATAGGCTCGGAGGGCAGCTAAATCTGACAATGCAGTATCTGGCTTGATTGCTTTTTGGTTAGAATTACCAAGGAGTCGGGAGATTAACCATGAAATTAATGACTGTTTTGACGCAGGCCATGCTGGTAAGTTTTGTAGCGCGCAGTGTCTCTCATAGTTATGCTGGACAGAGAGGTATACAGAGCGTGTATTGGCACTGAGCCCGCTCCAGAGCAATTTCAAATGGCCTGCACTAAGCTGATGAGCTCGCAAAGAGAACCATGTGGGCGGTTCAATACCGAGAGGTCCTGCCAGTGGGGACAAAGGTTAGCAATTTCTTGGAAATTATTACGAGAGAGCGCATCTGCTAATGTGTTTTCCCCTGAAGGGAGCCAATGTGGCACAATTTGGATGTCTCTCGCCGCCGCTAGGATAAGCAGACTCTTCAATGGTACATTGGGTGGACCACGAAGGAAGCCTTTGCTTAGTCCTGTGTACGCTGTGGAGCTATCTGTATGGATAACAAGCGTGTGATGAAGCCAATGGTGGCTGAAGAGTAAGAAGCCTTGTAGGATAGCATCTACTTCTGTGGTGTTGATATGCGCGTGTGCGTCTTGAGCAAGGGCCAGTGAGGCAGCATTGCATGATTGAAGCTGGTGACAATGGGTCCGCCAGCAGTCTAGTGTAGACTTTGATGAGAAGAAGAATAGTCCCTGGCCTGTAGTGGAGGCATCTGTGTAGAGATGTGTGATATTGCGGCGGCAAGGGTCAACTAAGAGTACGCCGTTGAAGAGAGACAAGGAGTCCCTCCACCATTCCAAATCGTCACGTACCTCATAGGGGATACGGCGGCGCGTGCAGCTCCCACGTGGGAAGGCGATCTGGAAGGTGTAGAGAGACTGTAGCCTTGTTCTTCCAAGCCGGACTACTCTTGAGCAAAAGGCTAGTAAGCCTGTAAGGCTTTCTACTTGCTTGAGAGAAAGACTCGTTGCGTTAAGGGCAGCTGCGGCGTCCAATGTGGCGCGGCACAGCTTCTCTTGTGGCAGACGAGCTTCCATCGCAATGGAATCTATTTGGATTCCCAGTACTATAACGCAGGTCCCTTGCTCGTCCTTCCTATTATTGCGAGGAATGCCTAGGTAGTCAGTTACCGTGTGGTAGACTTTGTCAAAGGCACCTGCAGGGTTGGACATTGAGGGAGAATGTGTGACAGCAATGAAGTCGTCCAGGTAATGGTTAATATAAAATGTGGGAAGGAGGCATTGGAGTACCCAGTGAAGAGCCTCTGCGAAGAGATTGAAGAGAAATGGAGCTGTTGCTAGTCCAAATAGGAGACAACATTCAACATAGGTGGAATTATTCCACTGAAAGGCTAGGAGATACTGGTTGTCTTGGGCAACAGGGACTATTCGGAAGGCATCCTTAATGTCCCGTTTGATAATTGTGCAGCCAGATCCTGCCTTTATGATCTGGTCATATATATCGTCGATTTTCATATATTCAATGGCGGACCAGTTATCTGGTATGCCCTGATTAACGCCACATCCAGGGGGCCAGGATAAATCATGGATACGGCGCCATCCCCCATCGTGCTTAGGGACAAGTCCAAGCGGCGAAATAAAGGAAGATTTGAAAGCAAGCTTGACCCGATGAAGGTTAAGGTCTTCTGCTAACTTCTCCGTGATAATGCTGGGTTCGTGTATATAGTGGTTAGTGGAGTGACAAGCGTGTTTCTTGCCTCTATAACCGATCTGGACGCCGTAGGTTAGAATGCCGGCTAAAGTTGATCCAAGCTCGCCAGGATAGTAACGAAGGAGGTTACGCCATCTCTGTGGATGAAGTGGGGAAGGCGAAGGGTATAATTTTGGTAGTTCCGTGTTAAAAACGGGGTATTGGAGAGCTGTGTTGGGCCTTGCTGGTTGGCCATAAGGTATATCTATCTGATTTAGGAAGTAAGGGGCTGTCCTGTTGATTTCCCTTTCGGCTCGAATTGCTTGCTACTTTTTCTTGCGGCAAGTTATGGCACCGTGCTCGCCCAACCCACATACTGTACATTCATGACGCCTCTTGCACCCTTCCCAAAGGCAGCCTGTTGTGTTAAACTTCTCACAAATCTCCATATCATTATTCAATGATCTTGCAGACTTGGCATGGCGGGGTCGGGCTGCTGAGGGGTTCTGCGTTGGCTTGGCTGGTAGTGTAAGGTTGTAGCGGAGATATTTCTCGCGAAACTGGGGCGTGACTAGGTAGCTATCTGTTGATAACTCACCCTTATCCAGTAAATATTGGTGGAAGTTGAGAGCCAGTGGAAGTACTGCTTCCGGCCATTGATAGGTCTGAGCAAAGTCAAGGATTTGCCTCATAAACATGAGCAGGTTAGGGACAGCCTTAGGGTGCTTGTCACCAAAAAGATATCCTATGACTGCTAAGTAGGTAAGGAAACAGCTGGTCCATATTTGAGGGTTAGGACCCCAGTCTTTAAGCGATGAAGCTGCCTTTTTGAAGCCCACGGTGCCACCTGACTCGGTCATTTTGAAGACTCCATTCGCTTGATCTGCGTCGATTACTGACTTCTCTTTGAAGCGAAGGAGTTCGGTCGCCTTCAATTTCCTTTCGAAGATGCGAGTAAGGAGGGCGGCGGAGACACCCGGAAACATATCAATGAGTGGTTTTACCTCGGGGGGTGGCTCACGGTTTTCTTCTTGATTATCGTCGTCGTCTTGCAGGTCCAAGTGAGTTCGCCTCCGACGGAGATCGACCTCAGTTTTGTCCAATTCAAGACGTTTGGCCCTGTCCCTTTGTATTTGTGCTAGCCAACTGGCGCGGTCCGCTGTATCCATGGTTTCCCAGATATGAGCCGGAGGCCATGCGGAGTCCTGGGGGAGCGGCGTGGAGGTGCTATGTTGGCTGGAGGATGTCATCATAAAGGTAAGAAAGAAATATCGAGAAAGAATCAAAATCAAGTCTTGACTGCGTGAGAGATGACGAGCAACTTGCGGAGGGGAGCGGCTGACTCTCGTGAGGCAGTTGTAAAAAGGAAGAACCCCGCAGTACGCAGGACGTTAGGTGAAGACTAATCCGCAGTGTGATCGTCACGTGAGGCAACCCCAATAAAACAATCTCATTTAACTACGGTCCGTATCACGAATTCCTGGCAGACTGATCCGCAGATTGCGTGAGCAGGGCTGGCCTACTAATCTCGTCCTCTGGATCGCCTCCTTTGCTACTGGGCGATCAGTTCAGATCCGACTTGATGGAGAGATTGGCCCCTCAACAGACATTGCCTGCGGCCTTCCACAAGGATCCCCAGTATCTGGCATTTTATTCATGCTCTACATAGCGCCTCTATTCCGTCTAGGAAACCCAAGGAACAAATTTGGCTACGCCGACGACGCAGCTAACCTGGCGATCTCGACATCCCTTGCTACTAACTGCGAAGCCTTATCAGACTCACTTCAAGAAGCTCTTAACTGGGGTGCTGCAGAGGGCATTACTTTCGCACCAGATAAATACGAGCTTCTTCACTTCTCTCGACGAAAAGCAGACCAGGACCCAACCTGCACACCTTCAGTAAAAGCTGGATCTATTACAGTCTCAGAAAATACTAAACGCCTATATCTACGTTGGCTAGGAATCCTCTATGACAAAAAGCTCACATTTAAATGGCATGTCGGTGAAACAGCATCTAAAGCCCTCACTGTGGCTAATGCCCTTCGCTCTCTAGGGAATACTGCCCGAGGAGTTAAACCTTATTTACTACAGCAAGCTGTATTAGCCTGTGTACTCCACAAAGCATACTATGGTGCTGAAACCTGGTGGCCAGGACGTACTCGCCCTGGGCCTACCCAGACTTCAAACCGAGTTGGCGAACATCTTAAGAAACTAACTAAAGTAGTACTAACAGGCGCAAGAGCAGTCCTTCCAGTTTTCCGCACAACCCCAATATCTGTCCTTTACCGGGAGTCTGGATTCTCTCCACCAGAAATTGAACTAGATCGAATAGCCCTCCTCGCAACTGTCCGCCTACGGCGTCTGGATCCTTACCACCCACTTCGAAGACGCGCGGAACAGGTTGCCAGTAATAGCCGACAAACCAGCCGATTTGCCCGCCGCATACTGGCCCTCCCCAACTCTGAGCAGATAAACCCTCTCCAACACGCTCCCTGGCACCCTCGCGAGACGCGCGAGAATGCTCAAGCTCGAATAGGAGCTCCCATGGGACGCAGTAAGGAACAGGCAGCGGCTGATTTTATAGCTTTTCAACGCACCATCCCTAGCTCTATATTATAATCTTTTCAGATGGATCTAGACTAGTAGACGGACGTGCAGGAGGAGGTTACATTGGATTTCAAGCACACAATCAGTTCCTCCGCTCCTCACTCTCATATGGACATGGGAAAGAGGTCTTCGACGCAGAAGCAGAAGCTGCCCTAGCTGGTGCCCAAGCAGCAATAGCATACCCAACAGCTCAATTTGCTACTAACTTATGGATCTGCCTTGATAACTTAGAAGTTGCCACGCGTCTTCTATCTCCCTCTACCGGATCTTCTCAAGAAGCCTTTGAATCCTTCCGCACCCTTGCAGCTGGCTGGCCACTACGTGAAAGGCTTCCACACACCAAAAGTGGATCAGTCCAAATCCGATGGGTCCCTGGACACACTAAAATCCCTGAGAATGAAGCAGCAGATTCTGCTGCTAAAGAGGGAGCTGCCTCTACCCCCCCCTCTCCATGCAAGTCCTCATATGCCTCGCTAAAGAGACACGCCAAGACTCAATCTCTCTCTGCTGCCCAGACACGGTGGCAGACCATAGCACCACAAACTTACCAAGATCTAGAAATAACTACATCTCCTAAGCGCCCTGGAGAGCTTCAACTTAACCGACTTGACCTTGGCCATATCATTGCAGCCCGTACTGGACATGGAGACTTCGCAGACTACCATGAACGTTTTAATCATGATGATGCTCATCTCCTCTGTCGATGTGGAGCACGAAAAGCACCTCTACATTTCTTCTTCTGCTATATAGCTAAGAGACGAGCCCCTCGTCCTCCTGGACCTCCTTCTGAGGTCATATCCTTCCTTCTAGGCACCGCGAAAGGAGCACAAAAACTAGCTACATGGCTAGCAGAGACCCGTTTTTTTGAGGATATCTGTCCTCGCCAACCTCTCCTTAGCACCTAGCTAAGTCAGCCCTACTTTTCCCTTATATCTCTCTTTTCTCTCTTTCTTTCTCTCTTTCTTCCCTTCTTTCCTTCTTTCCTTCTTTCTTTTAAACTCTCACTGCTTGATTACTATTATGGTAGAGTTATGGGTCATGGA